CGGGGTCCAGCTCAGCGCAGAGGGCAAGGAGCAGGAGGGCAGTAAGCCCAGGCCTGGGGCAGAAAACCAGTCATTTTCACTACCCCATGACCCTCATTCTCTCCCAGGAAGGCGCCTGCTGGATCCTGGAGGCCACCCCAGCTCATCCTTCCCCTCACCTTCCTGATGTGGTCCAGGAACTCGGGGGAGGAGAGGCAGTCCTCGGGGCTGGAGTAATGGCGGCAGTTGTACTGGAAGAGGGGCAGCAGGTCGGGCTCCAGGTCAAACAGCCTGCAGGGGGAGGTCCACGTCAGCCGGTGTTAGCCCCAGCAAGCCCCGCGAGCCCTGGCTGCCACAGTGGGAGTGGGAGTGGGCCAGAGGTTTGGCCGTAAATGACAGCATACCCTCCAACCTGGTACTGACCCCTTCACCAGCTTTGCCGAAACCCCTTCCTAGAAAGAACACGGGTCCCCAGGCCACTCATAGGACCCAGCATGTTGAGGGGACTGAGGCAAGAAGGCATTCTCAAACAGAAAGCCTGGAAAAAGGCTCTCTCTCTCTCTCTCTCTCTCTCTCGCTCTCGCTCTCGCTCTCGCTCTCGCTCTTGCGTTGCAAATTCCCATTTTGCGGTCAGAATCTCCTAGTCGCATGTGTCTGAAGGGGCTCTGGCCAGGATGATAATAATAGTTAAGAACTCCTTACCCATTTTATGGAGGAAACAAAAGCCCAGAGAGGTTAAGGAGCTTCCCTGGGGCCACACTGTTCGGAACCACAGAGGGGGCCTGAGTAAGCCAGGGAAAGCCGGGAGACACAAAGCAGAAGCTCTCAGCCACATCTGAGAGGGCGCATCTGGGTTCTGGGTAACTGTGAATTTATTTCCATTTTGGGGGGGGGCGTTGCAAAAGCTTCCTCAGAAGTTCTGTGCTGGCTTAGGAAAAACTCTGGTGGAAGGAAACCGTGCCTCATTGTGATGGCCGAGTGGTTAGAGACCCTCAAGCTGAGGTTGAAGATTTGCCTCCTCCTCCCCCTAAGGGGCTGGCACACCCTTACCCCTTCAAGGTGGTGTGACTAGGGCATCTGTCCTCCCCCGCCTGGGGGTTCTCTGTCCTAGCCTGGTCTTTTCCTGGGAAAGGTTGATCCTCCTGTTAGTTGGTGGAAGTGCACTTTCCTGGGGCTTGGACCCCGTGCTCTGCCAGCCAGGCACCCAGAGCCCCCTCCCCACACGGGCGGTTTCCCCTTACTGGCAGCGCCGGGCACCCCTGGAGTTACTATCCCAGGAACAAACTCAGGAGGCGAAGCGCCTGGGGTGGTGTCTGCTGGCCCCAGTGTAAGGAGATTCCGGAGAGGACCCGCTCCGCCCCCAGAGAGACTCGCTGGGCAGATTGTGCCGCGCGGGAAGCAAGAAGGGGTCCTGGGCCGGCTCCTGTGCACACATCTGGAGGCGCCCGGTGCAGAGGCAGCGGTCAGCTCTCCCTCCTCTGGAGCCGCCAGCCACCTGGAACCATTCCTGGCCAGGTCCCCTGCCTACCCTGGCTCGGGGCCACCCTCACCTGGTGAACAGGACGGTGCCGTGCTCCAGTGGGCTGCGGCTCACCGCTTGCCAGCTCTGCCGGATCAGCTCGGGCTCGGGGCGCTCCATGCTCGCCCAGGGACGCGGGGCGCAAGGCTGGAAGCCTCGGGGCGCGAGAAGCCCCGCCCCCTCCGGCCATCAAAGCGCACGTCTCTGGGCAAGGCTCTGGCCCAGACCTGGTGGCACGGGCAATGCCGGCTTCAGAGCTGCACAGAAATCGTGGAGCCTGCACTGAGTTTGATTGTCTCAGGTAGGCTCTGCATGAGCCACCTTTCCACAAGCCCCTCAAACATTTCCTGGAGCGTTTGAGTTGTCACCCCTTGGCACAGGGTCTCCTCCCCTCCTCCCCAGGGTCAGACGGGGGGGCGGGGCAGGGGGGGATGCGAGGGCGGCTACCTCTACGACTAGGCTGAGGCTAGGGGTGCCCTCTGCCCTGGTTCGGATCTGACTGAGACACCCCCACTCCTCAGGGGCACTCACCCTTAGGGACAGGGCCCGACCGCAGCCATTTCCAGCCAGGCTGGGTTTCCCGAGACTCCATGCGTAGAGACCTGTGGGCTCCAACTCCAGCCCCAGTTCTGCGTGGCAGGGTGGGGTCCCAGCTGCAGCAGCTGTGAGCATCGCCCTATGTGGACTTTGAGGGAGTTAAGCGCGAACAGTCTACCATCCCATGATTTTTAAAATATATTTTTATTGATTACAGAGAGGGAGAGGGAGAGAGAGAAACATCAATGATGAGAGAATCATTGATCGGGTGCCTCCTGCATGCTCCCTACTGGGGATGGAGCCCACAATCCTGATATGTGCCCTGACGGGGAACTGAACCGTGACCTCCTGGTTCATAGGTAGGCATACAACCACTGAACCACACCGGTTGGGCCATCCCACGATTTTTAATAGATTTTTTAAAAGATTAAATACTTTTTAAAAAGATTAAGTACTATGTATGTTATTAAATAGAAGTTCAGGCCCAGAATCTCAGGCTTGCCATTCAGGGTGTAAAGTTGGCCACCTGTCAATTAGACCCAAACTTTCCTGTTTCAGTCATGAAGGTTCCTCAAGCCCCACCAAGTTCTAGGGGCCCAGGTTTGGGAGAGCAGGCACATTGCTCACCATTTCTCATTTGGGAGTGTCAGAGCCCATCTCCTCTCAGGCTGTCCACTTCTCTGTGTCCTCAGTTGTGTTCAGTGTACAGCTGGGCTGGGTCTCCATACCCAGCCTCTCAGTCCACCGCCTTTGTTTTCACGGACACAAAGGAGGGGCGGGTGCTCTGGGGCCATCAGTGATGGTCAGGCTGCAGCTCCACGGCCGGCCCTGTGCTAGGCATGGAGTGCTGAGTCCCTGCCTTCTAGAACTTCTCCTTCTGGCCCTGAATCCAGATGAAGCACCTCAGCAGAACTCGCCTTTCCTGCATCCAACTGAGCCTGATGAACCCGTCCAGCTGCTCTCCCTCTTCCAAGGACCCAGGAGTTTGAGTATCCCTAGTCCTCTCTCCCCCATCTCTCCACACAGCTCGGCTCTCTGGGCTGGAGCAGAGCAAACTGTAAGGCAGCCTGGCTTGTGTCCTAGAGTCTAGGAGAGCCCCATGTAGGAGCACAAAGGGACGGGAGGCTGAGGGGAGAAGGCCAGGGTGCTCAGGGACTAGTCTTCCAGAATGGCACCCCCTGGCCCTGCAGCCAGGTACAGCAGGTCACAGGGAAGGTCACGTCTCAAGCGACCTTTACCTTCTTTCAGTGCCCAGATGCCCAGTGCTCCCTGCAGGCCACCTGGCTCCTCAGAGGTTTCCCACTCCACCCAGTTTACATGGCCTGGCAATGGTCTACACTGGGACCCTCTGGCCTCCTTTCTCCGTGGGACAGGGCCTGGGGTCTGATGCGTTAATGGCCTTAGCACGTAGGTGGTGAAGTCAGCACTCCCTCTGCCTTTCTCGGACCAGGAGGAGGCAGGGGAGGGCTGAGTGCACTCCAACCTCTGTTCCCCTGGAGAAAAGGCCTGGGGACCTGGCTGGGCCCAAGCATTCCCACCAGAGATGGAGGGTCTGAATCCATATTTGAGTGACTAGGGAAAAGTCACAGGAGCTCCCCTCCCTGCCCGGCATCTGCCCATGATCGGGGCAGGAGGTTCTAATCGAGGAAATCAGATACTGTTCTGGAGCCAGTGCTGTCACTGGGATCAGTCACCACCACCAACAAAGAGCTAGCATTATTGAGCATTCATGTCCAGATACTGAACAAGGCACTTTGCATCTTTTTTTCATCATGAGCTCTTTTCATCCTCACAGTAACTCTATGAAGTAGGTACTATTTATTATACCCTCTTTTTACCATTGAGGAAATGGGGCAAAAAGGTTAAGTAACTAACCCGAGATCACAGTTAGTAAGTGGCAGGCCCAGGATTTGGCCTCAGGTCTCACTCTGGCCCATCCTTTAGGCCTCCATGCTCCATGGCCTCCCTCATTTTAGTGGACTGTGACCAAACGGTATCTCCATAGTTCAGACCAAGCCAAGGTCACTGGGTCTGGGTCAAGGTTGTATTGGAACTGGCTCCTTAGATGGCTTGTGAGAGCCCAGTGTCTGCACCTCTCCAATTCCTACAGTGGCATCAGGTTGCTAACCTGAGGCAAGACATGGTAGGAGTATTTACACCATGAGAATTGGCAAATGGTACAGATCAGGGCTTTTTCCCTCCCGGAAACCAGAGGCTGGGTGCACCAGGAAACACCAGGCCCCAGATGAGCTGTCAATGTGTTAAGCAGAATGTGCGAAGAAGCAGGTGGACTCTGCACACCTCCGAACTGGGCCCAGGCCTTCTCCCCAGGGACCCAGGTCTGCCAGCTTGTTCTGGGAAGGTGCTTCTAGCTCCAGGACCAGGCTGGAAAAGCAGAAAAAGCCCACCTTGGTGACTAGGCCAAGTTCCAGTAATCACTCATCGTGGGACCTTAGGCCAGTAGTTTAATCTCTCATGGGTAGAATGGGGACAAAACCAGCAATGACTTCACTGGATCTTTATGGGGACAAGAGTCACAGATGTCGGGACTTCGTAAACTAAGCTGTGCTAGCCAGGAAGTGTTCAGTCCTCTTCTAACCTACCTGCCCTCAGCATTTTCCATCTCCTGAGGGTCTGCATGGCCCGCCATCCCTGCCTCCAGCTAAGAGGAGGGTGGTCCTAAGAGGGGGGTGGTTAGCCCAGAAGCCCCCAACTTTACAGTACAGTGCTACTCCTCCCCATCTCACCCCCCATCCGCTTTCCAACACATCAGCTGTCATCTGCTTTGGACCCTTAATATCACTCCTGAAAATAGACAACCCCTGTCAGGATGGGGGCGGAATGGAACTTGCTACAATGCTGGGCCACTCAGCTGTCTCAGAAGTCCTGGACTGTTGCTTTTCTCGCTCTTTTCTACATTGGTGTGGGCAAGTTAAAAGAAAAAAAATCAAGTCCAGCTTCCTAGTTACTTTGAAGTAAATTTATATAAAACAAAATAACCAACATTACTCAGGTAACCTTATTAATGGGAGGGCCCAAATGCCCCCCGGGGTAAAATCAGGCTGCCCTGCCCAGGTCAGGGCCTCTGCTGGAATTAGAATGGCCTCAGACCAGTCACGATACACAACAGAATGGTTCTCACACTGAAAACACAATAGTATGGGGAAGGCCTGGGTAAGGGCAGGGGACGTGGAGGGAGGCAAAATGGGAGAAAGTGGGAGACATCTGTAATACTGTCAACAATAAGAAATAAAAAAGAAAATAAAAAACATTCTTCTCCTCTTTCCAGGAGCCAGAGGGTGAGTCAGATTCAATTAAGTGCAACAAGAACAATGGCATTCAAAATAACAGCTATTTATTACAAAAGTAAATGACCTCTGATTACCTGTGGAAATTTTTTTTTAAAAATGTGGCTCAAGAAGCTGGCTGGAGGTTATCTTCTAACCAATGTCTTCTTTTTCCACCAGCAAGTATGTGGGATACATTTCTGCCAATTCCTGGGGGCTGGAGGCCATTTCAAAGCACCACCCCACAGCCCCTCTCCCCGCATCTCCCAGCAACAGAACCACAGCACTTGAAGCTGCATCAAGCCATGTGGCCTTGTCCCCAGAGAAGTGTCTGCCAGTCTGGGCAAGAGAAAGAAGAGGGAATGAGCAGACAAGTCTCCTTCTCCCACCCTTGCAAAGCAGTGGGAGAGAGAGTGGAACCCTTGTCCCCAGTGTGGCCAAATCAGCAGGAGAGATGGGCAGGGAGCTGCCTGCAATTCCTCCTTCCTCACCCTCACTCAGAGTGGCTGCCCCGCTGACTCCTTCAGAGTCCCACCTTCCTACGAGTCCCCACTGGGAAACACAAGGCACAGGGAACACCAGCCACCTCCTGGATGTCACTGTGGGCCGTTGTTCTTCACTAAGAGCCAAGCGCTGACTCCTGCATTCTACCTCCAGGAGAGCCCCCCACATGGCTGCCCTGACCCAGCTCAGAAGAAACCAACTCCACCGATGGGAAAAGGGGAGGGCGAGGCGAGGGTGGAGGGCAAGCAGAGGTTTCTCCATCCTGTTCTCCTTCCCTTCCAGAAATGCAATTAAGCAAGCAGCCCAGACTCAGCACACAGGCAGTGTTTCCTGCTGGGGGAAGTCAAAAGGGCTGCAGCCCTGGGAGAGGGAGGTCATCAGGCCCCAGATCTAATTAACAAACCTGCCTTGCTTTTGATGTTGCTATATTTCCTCTATTAACATTAATGATGGTTGGTCTCAAGGTCCAAGCATGGCCAGAAGCTTCCCTTCCCATCACCCAGTAGGTAGCACAGCCTGTCCCCAGGACCAATTTCCAGTCTCCGTGGCAACCGCCTCCGAAGATGCTCTAAAGAGCTCTGACCCTGTCAGAGTTGGTAGGGGCTACAGAGGAGGGAAGATGGAGTGTGGCAGATTGGGCATTAACCTTGAAGCATCACAGTCCTCTGAGACAAAATAAATACTCTGTCATGCACTGGGAGGAGGGAGGCAGGCGGAAGGCTGGTTCAGTTGGGACCCCAGGGCTGGGGTTGGTTCAGTTGGGACCCCAGGGCTTTCTTAATCCCTTTCATTTGGGGAGGAAGTGAAAGGAACAGCTCTGAGCTTCCTGCTTGGGTTCAAAGTAAGAAAGGTGAAGCTTTAATGCATTTCTAGGTGCTCCGGGTCTTTGTGGAGAAAAAGAGATTGATGACCCCGCGACACAGAGAAAGGGAAATGAAAAGGAGTGGTAGAGGGTGTCAGCAGGGGATAACTGAGAAGTAAAAATAGGGAACACTTAGTGAGTGACCCCCGCCCAGCACCACACGGACCCCTGCCCTGCCACACATCTGCCTTGGCTGCTCAGCAAGGGGCCCAATGGCTCTCCCAGCCACCAGGAGAACGCATCTGTCCTGTCGTCACAGCTGGATGCAGAGGGAAGGATGGGTAGCGAGAAACCGCCTCTAACCCCAGGGCCTTGGAACACCGAGTAGCCAAGGATAGGACACCATTCCTCCCGCCAATCTCATTCAGACGTGGCGAGTCCTCAGCTGCCTTGCTGTGGCCACCTCAGACAGAAGTCCAGCCACCTGCTGCCACACAGGAGCTGTCCCAACAGCAGCCATGCGGGGAAGCAGCTGCGGGCTGCCCACCAGCTCAGGGGCATGCAGCGCACTGGTTTATTTGTGAGGAGGGCAGCACAGCTCCGCCAGTCCCTTCTGCTCTACCAGTCCCTTCTTCTCTGCCAGTCCCTTCTGCTCTGCCACTGCTGATGTCCCAAGATGGGGCCAGGCTCTCATCCCTCTTGGAGGTCAGAGAATTGTTGCTGGGTCTTACTTACAAACCAAATCCAGTGTGAAAAAACTACCAGAAAAAACTACTGTAGCCCTGGACTCTCTTAGAGTTTATGACACAGCTGTCCGCAGCCACAGTCCACATTCCACAGGTGCCTGGACAAACGTGCCCTCACCTCGCACTCCCACCACTCTCGCACACTCATCCTTCCTCATGTTGCACATGTAGGGCAGCGGCCTGAGAGACCTCCTCGGTGCTGAGCCATCCCCAGCAGTGGAATCTGCAGACACAGCCGTGGCTCTCTAGTGTTGGGTTCGATTCCAGGTCTGCTCCTAGAGCTTGGTCCTGCAGGCGAGTGAATTCCTCAGGCTCCTCGGGCAGCTTCCTCCACAGCTGGGAGGGCTCAGGGATTGGCTCCACAGCTGGCTGTCCCCAGGAAGTTCCAGGACTAAGGCTGTGGCTTCAAAAGTCCCATGATTCTAGCCACCTTAGTCCTGCCATTGGACTTTGGGGGTCCTGGGCTAGGGGACCAACCATCCCGTAAGCGAGAGGATGGAAGAGGTAGAAGCTGTGAGAGAGAATCAGAAGGAGGCAGTTGGCATTTGTGGAGACAAGCAGCCAACTGCCCTACAGATCTTTGGAATGCATCTCCTCCTGCCGGCCTCCTTACATCTTCTCACCTACAACACCCATTCCCTGCCAGCCCCAGCGCTGCCTGAGTTCGCCCGCCCTCAGGTGGCTGGCTGTAGCCTGTGACCGTATAGATGCTGACTTAGTGACGGTACAGGAAAGGGCTCTTCCCCCGGAGGCCAAGGACAGAGACCAGTCAGGGGTCTGCTCATGGGCTGTCTGGCCTGAGTATTTGTCAAAACGTGGAAATGCTCTCAGGTCACAGGTCACCGTTCCCTGTTCACGTTTGCATGCTAGGATCACCTGGCAGCTTTGAAAACTGTCTGACAGGCCCAAACTGGGCTCAAGTGAATCAAACGTCTGAAGATGGGCACAGGCACCAGCACCCGTGGGGAGTACCCAGGGGATTCTAAAATGCATCCAGGGCTGAGGCATCGGGGTGGGTCCGGGGAGCAGCAATGCGATGTACAGGGGAGGCTCACCTGTAGGCAGTTCCCAGGAGCAGGCTCAGGACTCCCCCAATGTGGACACCGCTGGCCAGCGAAGAGGCAGCCAGGCCGCAGGCACAGAGCCGCAGGAGCGTGTCCCACAGAATGCCTAGTGAGAGGACAGACACCTGGCACAGCCTGTCGGATGGCCCTGCTGCTCCATGGCGGCCTCCTCCCCACCCTGCCCGCCCTCCCCCCAGTCCAGGTGGCAGTCTGACCTGTGAGCATGCTGGAGAAGAGCATGGCTGGGAAGTAGTGGTGGAAATAGAGGACCCGGCCCATGAGGAAGAAGGGGAAGTAGTGGAGCGCCCAGCCCAGCAACAGCTGACCGCCTCCTCGCAGCAGGACCTGGGACAGCCCTGCCCAAGGAGCACAGCCCCAGTCAGCGCAGGGAGGGGCGGAGATCCTGGGCTCCAGCCCAGCTCTGCCCCATCCTTGCTGTGTCATGGATAGGCCACATCACCTACTGGGCTTCCTTCCCTCTCCTGGACCAAGCCCAACACCTCCAGCAGCTGGCAGAGGAGAGGAGCAGCTGGTTCTCAAGAGCCCTACTCGCCACCCACCCAGCCCGCCACCCATGCAGCCCAGTGAGGCCTCAGCACCCACAGCAGGGGTGCCAAACACCAGTGGAGGCAGCACCGTCCCTAAAGAAACCAAAATCCTACACACCCCACAGACAGCTTCCCCCACCTCCATTGCCCACATCTTTGCTGCCACACAAATGTTTGCAGCGGCAGACAGGGCCAAGGTGAGTCAGAGGGGAGGATGGAGGTGGGATAGAAGGGTCTGGGATTCTTGCTGTTCAGACAGGGAGCTGCAGAGGCCGAAGCAGCCCAGGTGAATGTCTTAGATGCTGTGGTCCGTGGCCTGGTAGCTAAAGTTACCAAGACCAGCACTACAGTGGGAACCCACAGACCATGCCCTGGGGGCTCCTCTCTCCTCACTAGAAGACAGGGCCACGGAACAAGAGGGGGCAGATGAGAAAAGACAGCAGCTCTGTATAGAGAACAGAGGTTAAAAGTGAAGACTCTGAACTCGGGCTGCTTGGGTCTGAACCTCAGCTCTGTCACCTATTAGCATATGTCCTGGGACAAGTTCCTTAACCCCTGTGCCCTGGTTTCCTAGTCCATAGAATGGGACAGTGATCCCTACCCTGTAGGGTTTGGGGGAGAATGTGTGTTTAACACGGCACCAGGCATTTGGTGACTGTGAGCTTTAAAAAGCAAAGGAGAAGGGGAAGAGGGGCCCATTGGCAGGCAGGCCTTCCCCTGACTGCAGGCTCCCTGCCAGCTGCCCGGTCAGGGAGGGAGAGGCCCAGGGACCTGACCTTCAACCTCCCCAGGCAGATGCGCCCCTCTCTGCACAGCGACGCCAATGATGCTCCCTGAGAGGAGGTACAGGGCAATGCTCAGCAGATTCAGCCACCAAACCACCTGCACGGAAGTGAGACAAGAGGGTGAGAGGAGAGCTGCGCTCTCACAGGCCCGGCCCGAGGGTGTACCGGGCCACATGCGGCACTCACCGGGTTGCCGAGCAGGTACACTCGGAAGTCCGTGTCATTGATCCCCGAGAAGCGCAGGCCCTGCGGAGCAGAGGACACATGCCTGATCTGGGGCCCGGCTCATCCCCGCTGCACAGGTTCCAGGACGAGGGGACTGGTCACCTTTCACAGACACGGAGCCTGGCCGGGAGGCTCAGAATGTGAGCTCTCTGGGAAGGCAGGGCAGAACCAGGGAAGAACAGAGCCCCGTCCTGGCCACCCCATGCCAGGCGCGAGGCCTCACCCAGTCACCCAGCACACCCCACCTCCACCAAGTCTCTTTCTTGGCTCCATGTCCTGGGAGGAGCTCTAGCCTCTGGCCTACCTGGTAGTTGACAGGCCAGTGCCAGGGTTTGGATGTGAATTCATTGTCCTTGGGTTTGAGGCCATTGTTCCCCTGCAGGAAAGTGGTAGAGGAAAGCTGGTCAAGACAGATGGAGGGCGGACAGAGTGTGCGGGCCAGGTTCTCTGGTAATGGCCGAGCGTCAGGAGAAGCCTCCCTCCTCTCTCCCTTGAGGAAGAACCAGGTGCTCACTCTGGGTCACTGTCCACCTGCCTACGCCGTCACCTCACTTCTCCCAACAGGAAGCCTCCAACTCCCTCCTGAGACAGTCCAGTCAGCCCTCCCTGCTTGAGAGAGAGAGGAATGAGGGACTTATTTCCTATGGGCACAAAACACAGACCCATCTTCAGGCCAAAGATAGGTGTCAAGAGGGTGTGAAGGGGGCATATAAAATCAGGGCTGACTTACTTGTCCTCTCGGAAGACCAACTTCAAACACAAACCCAGGAATGCTGATGAGTTCCTGGACTTTGAAATTTTTACTTTAGACCAGTGTTCTCAACTTTTTAAATTATTGCCCCTCCCAGACTTTTCAGACTCTTTTCTAAACACCTCCCACCATGACATTATAATATCACAGCTATACTATAAATCTGTTTATATATTATACTAGAGGCCCGGTGCATAAAATTCATGCATGGAGTGGGGGGTCCCTCAGCCCGGCCTGAAAACTCTCACAATCCAGGACCGCTGGCCTGCCTGCCTGATCACCCCTAACTGCCTCTGCCTTGGCCTCTGCCACCACAGCTTCGTCCGGAAGAACATCTGGAATGATGTCCGGAAGGTCGTTCAGCTGTCCGGTCTAATTAGTATATTATGCTTTTATTATTATAGATTATTATAGATGAATACCTGTGCTTTATACATTACAAAGTTAAGGGAGGTTTGCCCTCAAGAACACATTTACCCACTGGAAGTGATATTATTGTGGTTGAGAATGCACATTTAATCCGAGGGACTCTGCTCCTTTAATCAACAGCCAAGAATATCCAACAGCCTGTGTCTACATGGTAAATTCCTTTACTAAAAAGGAAGGAAAAGGATCAGGATCCTGGGTGCTAACCACTGGGACTGGCATCAGCCTCATCATCAGGGCCCGCTGAGAAGGCATTTCCTGAGGAGGAGTCAGGTGCTCTGGGCCAGGTCAGGGTTTCTCCACCTCAGCACTACTGCCTCTGGGGCTGGAGAAGTCTTTGGTGTGGGCTGTCCTGTGCAATATAGGATGCTTAGCATCCCTGACCTCTGCCCACTAGATGCCAGAAGCAGCCCTACCCCTCAGCTATGCCAACCAAAAATGTCTGCAGACACTGCCAATTATTCCCTGGGAGGCAAAATCACCCTCTGTTGAGAACCACTGGTCTAGACCAAGAAAGGTCCAGAAGGTCTGATTCAGTGAACCACCATCCAGTGCTCACTCATCCAGCTTCTTTGAGGAGTTGGGGTCATTTGCAGGCCTCCATGTGGTAGCTAGGTTGCTCTTCCAGGGTCAAAGGGCCCAGCTGCCCCACCAGTGAACCACCATGGCCAGGTGAAGGGCCTCTGAATGAAGAATGAAGAATGAATCATTCTGAACCCTAGAGCACCTGCTGAGGGAACACAATTCCTTCAAACCAGTCCAGTCCAGCCCCAAATGCAGGACTCCAGCCAGAACCATAATAATCTAAGGGCATCCTACTCACTAAATTAAACTCTGAGAAATGTGCTCCTTTAACTAAACCAAGAAACTGAAGGAAGGAGAAATCTGTAACCAGTACAGGCATATGCATTTGTACATTATTCTCTTTGCTTAAAACCTAGAGCGGGCTTGATCCAGCTCACCTCACCAGGCACCGCCAGCCTTAGCCCCGCCCCCCTCTCCTCTGCACTTTCTGTGATCTAGACTATTGTGGTCTCTCTCCCTGTTCTGACTCTACATCAGCTGAGTAAGTCCCCTATGTCCCTTTTCTTCTTGGACTCTTCCTCTTCAATAATAAAATAAATGTCCCTTTTCTTGTTGGACTCTAACTCTTCAATGATGAAAGAGGAAATAAGACTAGTTAGACTTAGTCTTAAAATTCTACCTAGACCCAGATGATACTTGGACTGACAGACACGTATTTGAAAACAACTATGTCATCAACCCAAAGTGACAGCTACAAGCAGAGAGGCAGAGAGGAAGTGACCCAGAGATTGCTTGCTGTCAACTCATCACCTGCCAAAGTGCAGAAATGACAAAATTTGAATTTTTAAATTTAATCTGGTGGTTTAAGTCAACTGTATTTACTGACACTGCTTCTATAATCACTTCCAGGAAAGTGCACTTGCCATCGGCTCATAGGGGGAAGTAACAACTGCTGCACCTCTCTGCAACCCTGTGGGCTGAGAAACAGTGATTCTTCAACACCGTTCCTACAGAATACCGGTTCTCCCTAAACCAGAGTAAAGGGGTTTCCCCTGAAGATCAAAACTGCAGCAGGGTTTTTCCAACCACAGGGGAGAATTTAAGCGAGTGGGTACAATTGCTCAATTTAAGGATTTCCTCTCAATTGTTTTTAAACCTCTGATGCTACAACTGCTGTCAGTTACTAATGATACAGAGCACAAGCAATGAGTCTTAAAAACCTTCAAAAGAATCGGCCATGTACCCTAATGGTTTGTCTTTGTCTGCAACAGGAGTGGCTCATGGTTGGGATTTCATACTGCGTGTAAACAACACACTCAAATTAGCTCTCATTTTAACTGATCATAACTTTCTATGATGGAATGTACTGTCACTCTTCAACCAAGGACACTGGTTTTCAGGGCTCTGCCACTTGAATAGCCTGGAGAATCACTTTGAGCCAGAGGAAAGTAGTGGGACTAGCACTGACTCGGAGAGCCTGACAGGCTGGCTTTGAAGCCTGGATCTGCCTCCCACATATAGCTGTGTGACTCTAAGCAAGGTATTCATCTCTGTTCCTCAGTCCCCTCCTCTGTAAACCGAGAACAATAATCTCCATAGGATTGTAGTAAGTATTAAATGAGTTAGTACGTGTACAGCCCTTAGACTAGCGCCTGGCACATAAGAGCTACATAAGTTTTCACTGGTGTCATCATTATTGTCATCATCATCATCACCACCATCACTCTGTGGCAAACAGGAATACAAAGTCCTCCACAAGGGGGCAGTGGATCTAAACCATGCTACTGGTTTGTGATCTGAATTTGTGGATGGCCCGGAGCTCTTTGAGAAGACACCAAACGGGAGGGGGCCCTCTTACCCGGATCATCACCATGTGGGACTCCAGCAAGATCTCAGGAAAACTGGGCTGCAGCACGTCCAGGCTGATGTTCGGCACTAGAAAAAGAAATGACAGAGTAGGAAACGTTTGTCACACCTTCGCTCTCACAGCTGTCCATGCATCCACACAGCTGCCAGAGTCTGAGTGCAGCTTCCCTGACAAGCGGACTATCAAGTAGGTGAAAGTGTTGGGGAGATGGAAGAAAACTTGGCCCAATTCTTGATTATTCCTTCAGCTTGCATTAAGCACTCACCAGACATTCTGAGAAATACAAAGGCACCAGACGACAAGGCCTGGGTGCTCTGGCAGCTCTCGGCACAGTCACCCTTCATTTCGGTACTGGCACTGCTGCCCACCCTTCTAGGCAGAAGGGCTGTAAGGATAGGGACCAAGTCTATCTCATTCACCAATATCTCCCCAGAGCCCCACATGATTCTGTCATACTCAATAAAGAGTTGCTAAGCCCTAGCTGATTTTGCTCAGTGGATAGAGCACTGGTCCATGAACTGAAGGGTCCTGGTTTCGATTCCAGTCAAGGCACATACCTCATTTGGGAGCTCAATCCCCAACCCTGGTGAGGCAACCAATCAAAGTGTCTTGTCTCTCTCACATGGATGTTTTTCTCCATCTCTCCTTCTCCCTTCTACTCTCTCTAAAAAATCAATGAAAATAAAACCTTGGGTGAGGATTTAAAAAAAAAAAGTTTATTTAGGTAATTAACTAGCTGGTTGGTTAAATTAGGTGGTAAAAGAATGAAATGGGAAGCAGGGAGAAAAGAAATCAAGCAAGAAGAGGGCAGTCTAAGGGAACTGGCAATGAATCCAAAGTTTCGCTGAGTTGAAGATGACACTAATGTGGAAATGTCACACTGGAGCCTGGGAGTATAGATACAGGGCCCAGGCCAGGGCTGTGGCTGTCACTTTCCGTAAACGTGTTGGCTGGATGTGGGGAGCAGAGGAGCTCTACACAGGGGCATAGAGGGAAAGCACCAGCCTACTCTACGCCTTGAGGGTGGGAGGTACCCATGGTGCAGGAGAAAGAAGAGTCCAGAAGGAGATGAGACAGACAGACCTGCATTACAGAGGCCACAGAGAAAAGAGTCCAATCTGGCGAAAGACAAGGAAAATGAGAAGAGACAAGTAGCTTTGGCCTCGAGTGAGGTCACTGGTCATTTCAAGGAGAGAAAGTGTAAGTGGATGGGAAGCACAAGGAGCCGCCTCTCTAGACGACTCATATGAAGAGATTAGGTTTAAAAAGGAAGAAAGTGGAAACAATAAGATAAAGCAACAGCAGTCTAAAAGGTTTGTTTCCCGTAAGAGGCAGCCCAGGAAGTAACCTCACTCACACTTGGGATTGATGTGGTCCTCCACATTCCAGATGGAGTTGAGGGTTTCCTTTAGGTACGGAGTGCAAGTAACTTCCAGCTGCTCCCAGCCCCTGTGAAAAACAGTCACAGGTGTCTCCCAGAAGACCTGAAACTCACCAGAGAGTACTGGTAACTGCCCTTACGTCCATGGAACCCCTCTCTTTTCAACCCAGTGGCCATGCTTTTTTCAACCTTGAGCTATCCTAGGAGTGTTCTAGCACACAGTATTCCCATTTTAGGAAGACAGACAGATCCAGAGAGTACAAACATTTGCACATGTACAAACCGCCAACTGTCAGAGCACATAAAACACCAGGGGACTCTGGAACTCTGTGCTCTACAACACACCCGTTGCTTTTCTCCCTCCACCTACCACTCAAGATAAGCAAACATTAGGTGAACACTGACAACTGGGAGACTGAATCTTCTGGAATACTTGTAGTGAGAAAGGAACAGCATGAGCCTCAACTGGAACATCAAAACCCCAGAGACTCACCACTTGGGCAGAACCTTTCCCGAGGAGCCCAGGACACAGCCTGTGACCAGATGAATGAAGCGAATTCGACTTCTCAGCACTTTGATCCGGTTTCCAAATTTTCTGTTTATAACCTCAATCCGCCAGAAATCATTTGAGTCCCCTGTCCCATTCTAACACATAAGGCAAGGAAAAAATGCAAAGAAAATCATATAACTTTAGAGAAGACATTTCGGATGCCCCCATGTTACAAAGGTCAAAGACTAAACTGACCTCAATGACTGAGGTGGGGAAGGGAACAAAAGGGCCTGGAAATATTTCAAGTGATGGATACTGCTCCAGCACTCACTATTCCAACCAAAAAAGTTAGTATAACTCCTGGAACCTGATGTCCAAGCCTGCACTTCATAGCACAAGAGTTTAAATTCAAAATAGATGTTTCTGCCCTTAAACCAAACTCAAGACATCACCCTGAGCCAACAGAAATCGATTTGGGCCATTTGCATCCATGACCTTGGCCATGTGGACACCCATTCAGCTAAGCCAGAAAGGTCTGGCCTGGACATTGTACTTGGAAATTAAGACAGCTGTGCCTAATTCTCCTTGGGAGCTGCCCACAAGAAAAAGGTGACGCTCAGAGTCTTGGCTCTAGCACACACTGGGATGAGCAAACAGGGCTGGAAAATCCACTTTATGAAACCCAGAATTTTTACTGATGCACCAAAGCCCTTGGAGGGGAACGTAACTGATAGTTATAAGTCTAGTTACCTATTCATTGTTTTTGTTTTCAAATTACTGTCCAAGCCATAAGCACTCATTGAGCTTCCTCTATGAACTGCATCACCCAAGGTAGTAAAAATCCAAAAGCAATGTGGTGAATATCCCTCTGCAGAGGGAAGTAATCCTTAAAAACAAGGCAAACAGGGATTTGGGACCTGGCAAAGGATAAATGTCCATAGTCATCTGGGGTCACACTGTGGGTCTGTGGCGTCTACATCCAATGTAGATTTAAAAGGGACCCACACAGTATTCATATTTGACATTTATTAAGTGTCAGAACATAAAAGTGGCGTGGTTATTATGGGAGGAGAGAGATGGAAACAGATAAACTTCATAGGCTGCTTTTCCCAAATGCTGAGTCCCTGTACAGCCTTCATCCTTGGGAAAATGCCAGAATTCTGGGGAGGATGTGTTCCAGCATATGGCCCTGAGTCCGGCTGCGCATACTCCAGCTGCTCACTTACTATGCCATAGCCAGTGACCTGGTAGTGCTTCCGGGTCAGGGGGGCCTCATGATAGTGACTGTGCAAGTTCCGAGAGGTCCTAGAAGTTAGAAGAGAGAAGTTCCATTATCCGGAAGAAAAGAGATGTGTCGTTTCTTCTTTAACAAAGGATACTTAGAGTCACCTGTTCAGATCTTAAAAAGAACCTGAATAGGAAATTCAGGGTATCAGGATCTCCTTGACTATTTACTCACAAGAAATACCTAGAGAATTGGAGAACTGCTCAAACCAGAGGGACAAATGGTAGGAGTACCGGACTGTGTGCCAAGAAAGGGGCTACCTTCAGGTGGAAGGTGCGGGTGGAGGTAGTGACAACACATTTGGTGGCTTTGAAGCACTTAGCTTGCAGGTGTGGGTAGAAGAATATTAAAATCTATAATCTGCATATCTCAGAGATAGTAAACCTCTCTCTCCTATCTATTTTCTACTCCCACCACCAGTTTTATAAAGTGGGGATCTATAGGAAATATAGGGGTTTAATTTAGCTTTTATTTACTTGGTGCTTACTTTAATCCATAATAAGAAATAGATGTTCATTATAAAAATTCTGGAAATTCTCAAAAATAAATTTAAAACAACAAATTTTAATTTATTAAAAAATAAAAATTATTTAATGAAATTAAAATTTTAAGTATCCATAATCATACTCACCAGAAAAAAAACTCTCATAGCTTTTCTATATATATAAAATTCTGATTTTTTAAAAAAATCTGTATCTGATAATTCTAGTATATGAAACTTCTGAGGGCTGCTTCTGCTATGTATTGTTCCTGCTTATTCTTGCATGTGGGGTCCTATTCCTTGTGTGTTTAGTTCTTTATACTGTTTATTATTCACTGTCACCAAAAAACCATTGATAAGAATAGGTGACAATGTTTTTCCCAAAAAGATTTAGAAGTTAGAAAAGAGAACTGTCTTAAGGCACAAATGTCTTAATTTGCCTTTCACCAGGCTGCTAGGAAACATTACCAATCTAGGATTATATGCATTTAAATTCCTGGCTTGAAGATCTTGAGACCATCCAGGTGAAATAACATTGGGCTGCAAACCCATGTGAGGATCAACTGGTAGTTACAACATCTCAGGCACCAGAGACAGAGCCTCCCAACCCCCGCTTCACCCCTCCCAAGCACACTATGCTCAGCACCAAAGTAACTTTTCCAGAGTACACGTGGACAGGGCAAATTTACCCAACCCTAACCCTTTTGGGGCTCCCAATGTGGGGGAAGGATCACTTAGTAACCTTACCACTTTGGGTGAACCTAGAACTTTGACTTTAAAACTCCATCTCTCAAGAGGCAGTCCAAACCAAAGATCAACACTCAAGATTGTGGGATCATGGCAGAAGTGGCTACAGTGTTCCCCTTTTTTCTCAGATCCCCCCTTTCATTTAGATTTTGGCTTGGTAACTCCTTACTATATTGTCAGTTTTTTGATGCTTTCTAGAAGATGCTCTTATATTATTCCAGTTTTATATTTTTATTCCAGTTTTCATATTAGTCATTTTCAAGGAGAACATTGGTTAAATAAACTAATTTGCCATATTCTTGGAAAGATGTTTACATCTTTCTAAAGGTAGTCACTTAAGAAGCAACTTGGGCAACTGAAATTTTTTCTTTTGTCCTCTAAGAAAAGGGAAGCTGAAAGATACCTTCAAACTTCAAAGCTCCTCAGAGCCAAACTAGGTAGGCACAGGCTCATCTGCTTATTTCAGGGACCTTCCTAACGCGGCTCTACATCCTCCCCCAGCAGCTTGTTCCATCTGCCAGAGCCTTGTTCAGACCTGACTTCTGTTCATTTCCAGCTTAAAAACAACTCCTTGCCTTTGGTGCCCATACCACTCATTTATCCCAAAGAGCAAACTTACTTACTCTTTATGTTCTAGTCGAATGATGTCTCCATGTCTTACAAACTCCACTGGGAATGAGGGGTCTAGGGGATCTGCCAAGAAGAAACAAGCACTGGTACCTGAAACCATTCACTCAGCGGGGCAGTACTGACTGAGGGCCCACTAGCAGTTACAGTGCCTGGCAGGTGCTAGAGATGCTGTCAGGAGACAGAGAGCCCAGAGAGTAAGGCCCCGACTGTTTCAGAGGACTGGATAAGGGTGTGTCCCAAAATAACGTTTGAAAGACTCTTAAAGGAGAGGGAGAATTTTGCCAAGTGAACAAGTGGGGGAAAGTCACAGAAGTGTAAGAGAGCAAAACTCATTTGATGGTCTCCTGTGGTTAAGGGGGCAGGCAGGAAGGGTGGGAATGGACAAGTGTGTGAACAGTGGGGCCAGGCGAGAAATATGGCCATCTCTAACAGGCACTGAAGCCCCCACTGGAAGATTTTTAAGCTGGAAAGGCAAGTAGTACTACGATTTTCCTTTTAGTAGTAAAAAATAGTCTTCCAAAAATTAATTCCATGCAAATTGCCATTTTCCAAGCTCTCCTAAAAATCAAATGTTAAACCCTGCACATTTTGCCTGTGATTATCTTGGTCCTGGCAATATACTTGCTAAGTCTGAGGTAAAGATAATGATGAAATGATGAAAAAAGTGACTACAGTTGACAATTGAACAACGTAAGTTTAAAATGAGCAGGTACTTATACATGGATTTTTAAAATAAATACTACAAATGTACTTCCTCTTCCTTATGATTTTCTTAGTAATTTTCTTTTCTCTAGCTTACTTTACTCTAAGAATACAGTCTATAACATGTATAGCATATAACATATGTGTTAACCAACTGAGTATGTTATTGGTGAGGCTTCTGGTCAAAAGTAGGCTATTAGTAGTTAAGTTTTGGGAAGTCAAAAGTTATACATGGCTTTCTGACTGTGCAGGAGGCCAGTGCCCCTAAGCCCTGCGTTGTTCAGGAGTCAGCTGTACTTCTGTATCATCTAGAGGTTAAAACTGATCTGATCTAGAAAGGTGATGACGATGGAAAAGGAATCAGCAGTAATCACAGCAACACAGAGGAATCCTTGCAAATTTCCATCCCAAACAGTGAGACATGAACACTCCAGGTCAAGAAGACAAATTTACTAGCACAAATCATGGCTCTCAAGTGAATCAGAGAATTCAACCACAGAGATTCCCATTCCTATGTGGGCTCTTAAGGTCTCTTTCAATTTAAAAGGTTAGCCCTAGCCAGTTTGGCTCAGTGGATAGAGCGTTGGCTTGTGACTGAAGGGTCCCGGATTCGATTCTGATCAAGGGCACGTGACCCGGTTGCGGGCTCCATCTCCAGTAGGGGGCGTGCAGGAGGCAGCCAATTAATGATTCTCTCATCATTGATGTTTTTCTCTCCCTCTCCCTTCCTCTCTGATGTCAATAAAAATATATTTAAAAAAAAATTTTAAAGATTAACTAGCAAGATGACAGATTAAAGAAAGTCAATGGGAGGGAAGTTTTCTTTCATATAAATTTATAGCCATCAAGGTCTCAAAGATCTCAATGCCACAGTGCCCACCGCCCACAGTGCTTGCAGACACTGATTTCTCACAAGTTCTTAGTTGCCCGGGTAAAATGCAGCTACTTTAACCTACAAGCCACAATGAAATAACAGACCAGGGATGTTTAAAAATTCGGCTATGCCCACATGACTTTCAAAGTAAAGCTGGTCTCCCCTCACAAACACCTCATTGTGATAGACCACTTAAGCTTGGCCTGTCGAATAAAAACCCAATCAATACTAATATTAAAAAGGTATAGACATAGAACCTGCCCAAGAGTGTCATAATTTATATTACTGAGGAACAGGATGCAAAGACAGTGACTGTGTACGCCATATTCTGATCCAAAAACCACAGCAAGAAGAGGAGTGGGGAAAGGAACAAAGAAGGTGAATTCACATGATCATCTGCCCCTTCCCCACAAAGGCTCAGGGGCAGCTGACTTGAGACAGGCTGAGCCAGGTGGTGTTTGCTGGGGAGTCACAGAGGATGCCTGTGGCACAGGACAATCTGCAGGGGCTCAGGTGAGTGGGAGATGTCCTCTATTCTCACGCAGCTGCAGCAGAAGCATAGCCTGCAGGTAGCTAACTGCCTGACAAAAAAAACAAGATCCAGATACAGCCCACATCATAGGCCCTGAGAGCCCAACAGGTGTGCCTCAGAGCAGCTTTGTCAGGCTAGGCAGAAGCAGACGAGCAGGCACTGAGTGAGGTACCAGACAGCAGCCTAGACAGGCCCAGCACAGGGCCGGCAGACCCTCAGATCTCCAACTGACAGCCTAGTCCAAGGATGACCAGTAGGCAGCAACACTATCATATCAAGACAACTGGAGCTGCACCATATGCTAGGGTCTGCAATGCTTGGCGTGTTCTAAATTAGAAATGAGAGCAGCCAGCATGTGCCCCAGTTGGGGCTATTCACCAGTCCCTGGTGGCATGCCCAGGTAATCGTCTGGATCAAGTCTGAGCTTTGGTCCTGCTCTCTGTCTTCAAAATGCAGCTCTGAGAGCAAGATCATATCTGTCTTGCTCACTACTAATCCCTTAGGCTGACAATAGCACTTTGAACCAGTAGGTGCTCAATAAATAACTGTTGAAAGGATAACTGAGATAGTAAACATGTTGGCAAAGAATGCTCAGGAAAGCCCATCTTGTTACCCTTCTCTGAAGGCATGAGAAACGTGGAGGACTGAGAGTAAGTAATCACACAAGAAGCATCAGTTCCCCACATTACCTGAGTCTGTGTTCTGCTTCTTGATAATCCACAGGTTGTTGTAGTCCTTGTGCAGATAGGTGGTGACCTGGGGGGGCGGGGGGGGGAGGAAGGGGGAGGGAAGAGATCATCACTATCAGCACAACCAGCCACAGGACAATCAACAGCAAACCAACATTGCTTAAGCCTTTCTGAGCCCCAGCCACCAACCCAAGGGACCACGTTTCCCAGCAGGACTCAGAAGTAGCATTGAGATTCTCTCCTTCCTTCTGCATTGAGAGGACTTCTCCCACAAGAAGGAAGAACCATGACACCTTGTGTAACAGAGAGGATTTAGTACATTTTAAAAGGTAATTAAGCCATGGCCGGTGTGCTCAGTGGTTAGAGTGTCAGCCCATGCACCAAAGGGTCTCAGGTTTGATTCCTGGTCAAGGGCATGTACCTGCGTTGCAGCTTCAAACCCTGGCCCTGGCACCTAATCAGTACCAGGGAATCCAGTATCAAGGTGGTCAGAGGGGAACACTGAAGCCTAAGCTGAAGCCTAAAGAAGCTGAGTTTGCCACGGCAAAGAGGAAGAGGGCGCAGGAAGCAGGGGAAACAGCGCAAGCAAAGGGTGGGCGGCAGGAACGGGAATGGCGGGTTCAGTGCAAAAGAGGCTCACGGACCTGCTGCTGGTGGGCGCCAATGCCCTCAGGATAGAGGTGCCTGTGGGAGTGGAGATAGCCGATGGCCATCCGCAGGTTCTTCACAGTGATCACAGAGCCGAAGGCCAGGTCTAGGAGGAAGGAAGGCAGGGCGGGTGTGAGTAGCACAGTGCTAGAAGCCACCACTGACTGGGAGGGGCCTCCCAAGCCCTAGGGCTCATAACCCTCTTACAAACCCCACTGGGCTGAGGATACCCAAAGCAGGTGTGCCACTGCCTTCTCACTCCCATAGGGTCAACTTGGGAGGGGGTTCACTCCAGGGTGCCCTTCTTCCCTCCCCACTAAGCACTTCGGAAGAACCTGGGTAGTAACAGTGTGACTAGAGCACTGTTTGTAATAGTGAAAGGTTAGACCGCTTGTCCTTCAGTCAAGGTCTGGACATACATTCAATGGAATAAAGGAAGAAGCATTCTCCGTCGTTATCTGGAATGTTCCCCAAATATGATAGACGGTTAAGACAGACTTCTGTGCTTCTGAATCCAGTACCATATGGAGTAACTATTTAATGGCATTTGGGCTTTTCTTTATTCTGAATTTAAAAAGGGGGGGAGGGGCAGAGTAAACCTCATTTCCTTTTTACTGTCCCTCTTTTCTCAATCCCTCAAACTATGGCCACCCTGCCATTCCCCACTCTACCGAAAGAGGTCTCACTCCACCAGAGATGGCCCACCCTGTCTTCCTTTGTCCATTCACTTGGTCAGCAGACTGCACTGATTACACTTGGATCCGAGGTGGAGCAGGCCTGGCTGCACCCACGGCGAGCCCAGTCTTGGGGAAAACAGCTTCATGCACTGACGAGCACATGACAGTGGGCAAGTGCTCTGGCAAAGGTGTGACAACGTGTGACATGGGGGAGCCCAGAGCAGGGTGGGATGACTTCTCGCCCCAGGAGTAAGAAGAGGATGGCTTGATGGAAGAGATCACAGCTGAGCTCGGCTTTATAAATGATGAACAGGAACTTGCACACTGCTGACCGCCTTTGCTTTTTGAAATGCTCTGTTCCTCCTTCTCAGCCCCAGACTCCCTCATGAATGGATCCTCTGCAGCTCCTTCCTAGGTCCCCTTCCTCCTGCCATCCCGTGACCTGACCTCAGCCTTTTTCTCTTCCTCTCTCTGGAGTTTCCTTACGGGTCACGGCACTGCCGCCGCATTTGTCACCCCTTTACCTGGCTGACTCCTCCTTGGAAAGCTTCAGCTCCAAGCCCGCTGGCCCCATTGCACAATTTCCTCAAGTACCTCAAAGTCTCTGATGTAGAACTCACTATCTGCCTTTCCAAACCGACTTCTTAGCCTTTCCTCTTTCTCATTCTTTCCACGGTCTGGGAGGGCCCAGGGCTCTGGGCACTGTACAAGGCACTGGGGAGACTAAAAGACAGTCTTTGCCCCAGGAAACAATCACCTGGGCTCAGGTCCTTAGTGACATCTTGTTTCCCGCTTTCCGTGTCCAATCTCCCTTGTCTATGCCCGGTTGCCTTACCTCTGTGCCCAGCTCAATGCCTGCAACAGCTTCCCAGAGGACATATCCTGCCTCCACTCCCACCCTCTCCCTTGCCATCCTATACTTAACCACCAGAGTCATCTCCCTAAGGCGCAGCCTTCCTGGCCTCCGCCCTGCCCAATACCTCCACTGGGTCTCCAATGCCTGTGTAATGAAGCCAAACACCTCATCCAGATATTTCAAACCCTCACTATCTGGCCCAACCTATCTTTTCAAACTTTTTTTCAGGTACTTTTCTGCATATAATCTGTGCCTTGAGTTTTGCCCTGTCCTTGGCCTTGATCATGCTGTCCCTTCTGCCCAATATGCCTGCTCCTCCCTCTCCATCTGTTGAAATCTACACATTCTGGCCCTGACCAGTTTGGCTCAGTGGATAGAGCGTCGGCCTGTGGACTGAAGGGTTCCAGGTTCGATTCCGGTCAAGGGCATGTACCCTTGGTTGCGGGCACATCCCCAGTAGGGGGTGTGCAGGAGGCAGCTGAATCTATGTTCCTAGCTCTATCTCTCTTCCTCTCTGTAAAAAAACCTATAAAATATATTTTAAAAAAGAAAGAAAGAAATCTACACATTCTGCCAGGGCCTGACTCCCAGACCACTCACTCTATCTCTCGCACCGTGTTCCCACTTTATGTACTTAACCCGACAGTCATATCAGGCAGAGACTCTGTACTTCAGACTCTACACTGGAGGGCGTCCACCTACTGCCTCCAACGTGGCTAAGGCTTGCTCAGTAACTACCTGTGAATAACCGAACACAGGTGAGCCACAGCACTCCAAGGTGGAAACTGACCAGTGCCCTGCAGGTCCAAACAGAGTCTCTCTGGTTGGCCTTCCCACAGAGCTGGCTTGGATGTTTTCACAGCCGCAATGGAGAAGTCTCTCTTTAGGGACAAAGAGTTTGCTGCTCAGGACATCTACCTCTGCACTTCCTGTGTCCCGACCCCATCTCTTGAGTACTCGTACTGGAAATAACTGGATCTTTCTCCCACATTGCCCTCTATAAACTGAAATAACTCAAACTATCATAGTCGTCTTTTCTACTTCAACTCCCAGAAAACCCTCTGCCCGGCACCAGGCCTGGGAGACACTCACACTCAGGGACGGAAGCGTTGTGAAGGGTGTTTCCTGCGAGCCGGGCCTGGAAGGCGGAGCTGAAGAAGCCATCGCCGGGACCACTGTGGGAGAGCAGGAGCAGGGCAGGGCCCAGTGAGTGCAGTGAAATCATGACTTCCCAGGAGGCTAGAAAGAGCCCTGCTCGGCTCGTTTAAGAAGGACAACCAGAGTGGCAGTGAGGCATCGGGAGACAGACATGGGTGATGGAGGAGGAGAAACTGGGTCCAAATCCCAACTCAGCCACTTACTAGGTAGGAGGCCTTTGGAAGATACCTAACTTGGGTTAGCCTCTGCTCCTCATTTATAAACAGGGGTTTAAAGATTTCAAAGTAATTTTGATTAAATGAGATAATGGGTACAAAATGCTGAGTGTTCCTGACACTCAGTAGCTACTCATTAAATGGGAGCTGCCGCTGGTGTTGCTGTTATTACTATCCTCATCCCAACTGCACACCTTATGGTGGCTCATCCCTGTTAAACACAAGGGGTTTTGTTTAGGGATAAGGGGCTTTTGCCTGTTAGGAAATTCTTTACTAAGGGTGTTGGCCTTTCTGAGCATTTTGGATACCCAAAAGATAGAACACAGGAGAACACCAACAGGAAAACACCCTGGGTCCCCTCCTGTCATCCCAACCACAGACCCAGGAAATCACACGGCCCATCCGCGGGCTTGGAGGCAGGAGGAAGACAGAGTGAGCGTCTAGAAAGGCTCTGCTGTACCTCTGATTCAGCACCGCAAAGTGAACAGCATAGATGGCTGTGTAGAGAGCCAGCGGCAGCACTATGAGGCACAGGATGCGCGCAGTCAGGTGTTTTCCCACAGTCACCTGTAGACAGAGCCAATGTTATTCCTTATACCTTAGAGGTGCATTATATGTGTTTTCATGTATAAGTGATAGTCATAATAAAATTGAAAAACTAACAGCCATAAAGAAAAACCATGTGGAAATGCTTTCCATAGCACCCACCACTGAAACAATGCCGGGGACTGAACAGGAGCCAGCCCCCTGCTGCCTGTCCGAGCCCTCACCCTGGACCCCAGACTGTCACTGCACCACCAACAAAGCGCTGCCTATATCTTCAGCATCGTCACTCATCAGTCCCCTCTATATCCCAGTCACACTGATCCCCTGCACTTTCCCCGAGCTTCCTGTACTGGCCAGCCCCACCCATCACATGGATGACTGCTCCTTAATTTAACTTTAGGCCTCAGTGTCTTCCCAGAAGTCTTCCTGCATCACCTGAAACAGGGTCACACCTTCCTCTGTGCTCTCACAGAACTTGTTGGCTGAACTCTAATTGCCTGCTCACTTATTTCTCTCTCTCTCCACTGTCTCTAGAGGGCAGGGATCATTGTTTTATTCATCTGCATGTTGTGTCTCACACTTAGAGGACAGCATGTCTGTATTTTCTGAATAAATAAACTTGTTGGGACTTGGTTCAGAGGCAATGGAGCAGCCTTTAGTAAGCAGTCTGCCTTCCCTCAGTTTGAACCCTAGATCTGCCCCTATTGCCTGTATGACCTGGGACACATTAGGTCTTGATTTCCTCATTTGTAAAGAGAGGGTAATAGCTACCTACCACATAAGATTGTTATGAAAAGAAAATGAAATAATGAAGGTAAGCATATTGCATAGTGCCCAGCACAGAATCAGCCCTTAATAAACAATATTGTAATAAACCTTACTGGCTTCCAAATCTGAAAAGCCTGGATTGGGAAAAGAAAACTGTGAGTTCAGAAAGTCTCCCTGACCATTTCACCCAAGGTCCCCTGCGTCAGCGCCTGACATATACCAGTATTTGGCATGAGCCCAACTGGACAGAATCCTCTAGTTGGGTAGTTTGCAGAGCATTTTTAAAACATTTCCGAAACAAATGCCAAAAATGAATTCCAGGAATATGAGTCTATCCTCGCCCTTTATACTACTCCAGCATCTCAGCCATTGCCCACTCCCTCGTCCTGCTGCCTACGGAGAACAGCTGGTCCAGCTTGCCTGGGCCCAGAACACAGCCACTCCGTGCCTACAGCAGAGGCAGAGGTAGGCCACTGGCTCTGCTGAGCAATACTGGGGAGCAAAGACATTTCTACAAGCACTTGGTTCTCACCAATGAAAGACTGAGGTCTCCAAACAGGTGCCAAAGGTCTGATACGGTGTTCCACCCCACGTGCAGGATGATAAAGAGGCCAACAAACTTGACCCCTATAGCACCAGCCAGATTAATGCCAGTCAGGCTGAGCCAGAACCACCAGGGGGCAGAGAAGGGCCTGAAAACCAACAAGACACAGAGTTCAGTTTGGCAGCTGGAACCAAACTCAAAAGCAAGAGCATCAGTGGGCAAGGGCACAGGTTCTCTGACTCTGAGGGGCTGTGCTGTGCCCTCTATGCGAGGGCTCCTAACCTCAGGGGACCATGAGGCTCCACGAACAGCATGGTTTGTGAAACTTGAAACTGCAGGAAGCACAGTGTGGGTGGGAGTGAGGAGGAGCTTTTTCTGAGAGGGGTCAATGCTTTCCTGGATAAGTAAGCAGGAAGCTTTTCTTCAAGGGATAACCAATCATGTGGATGTCAAAGGGAAATCCAGAGAAGCCACTGGATTGAGTCAGCCCTCTCCTTTGTCACCTCTGGACCTGTCAAAGCCAGGATTTGTCAAATGCTTACCATGTGTCAGGCACTGTTCCAAGTCTCTACACAATTAACTCTTCAACTTTCGCAAACCCCATGAGGTAGATCCTATTGTTATCCTCTTTTACCAGTGCACATGGGGAAGGCAAAGGACAGAGAGGTTAGGTAATCAGCTAGCAAGCGGTGGAGCATGGTTCCAGCCAGGGCAGTCGGTGCCAAGGTTTGCTGTACTTACAGCTCCTAACACACTGTGCTGCAATTTTCTCACTTTCTGGTGGCCTCCCCTGCCAGAGCAAACGCTCCTTAACAGCCAGACCTAAGTCCTGCTGTACCTCCAGCTCCTAGCACAGTACCTAGCACAGAGTATGCATTCCAGAAACGGCAGGTGAAAGTGAATGTGGCAGGGACAGAAGATAAACCAAAGCCTGAGAGACCTGGATCAGGCTTTATTAGCATAACATCATTTAATGAGATAACATCATTTAATGAGCGTTGTCGTGGTGAAACCAAGTTGACTTCTAGAAAAGCCCAGACGAGCCAGCTCTTTTGGTTTGATTAGAATGAATGTATTCTACTCTCTCAGAGATAGAAGGATGATCTGGAAAAAACTGCCCTGGGGAAGACAAGGCCCTCTAGTACAGCTTCAGAACTTTGCAGGGCCTACAGGGATCCTCTTGACTGCTATGGACCATTCAAGCCAATCTTTATGTACACTATTCCCACCGTTAGGTCAGGGCTGGATGTAACAACTACCGAGGCCAGGGAGACAAACACTCCCAAGCAGGATCTACCCTGGTTCCCTCCCCTCTAGGATGGAGAATGTGAAAGATAAAGTTGTCCTGGGATCTCCTAACCAGCACTGGTGCCAAGGGGTGGCTTATAAGTTGGTGGGAAGGCATTAGGACCCTCTATGATATCCACAAACCCCTATCTAAGTCCACCCCCACTGTAAAAATGATAATATTCTTGAAAAATACAATCGACATTTTCTTAGTTTTATGTAAAGCAAAAATAAATCTATAGAAAACCTTTTCAAATCTATTTTCATGATCTAAAATGGGTAATCTAAATTTTTTTAAAAAGCTGGATTGCCTTAAACTCAGCCTCAAGACAAGTCCTCTAGGCACTTACCCTGTCCTGGCCATTATAGAAATTCTAGAGCTGCCGTAGCCTCTGGACGACCTCACTCCCCCGCTCCCCCCCACCCCACAAACCCCGCCCGACACACACACACATACACACTCCCAAAGACAGTGTTTCTGACCTGTCAGCACAGGAGTTGTACTTGACCATGCTCAGCATGGCAGCCATGATGAAGAACATCAAGATGGGGTCAAGGAGGATGTACTGGGACAGAGTGAGGCATCCTGTGTCTGAAAAACATGAGCTCAGTGGTCAAAAACTGGGATCAGAGATGGGCCCCCAAGAACCAAACACCCCAGCAATAAGTCCTCCTTGCGCTTAATTGCAGTCAAGACTAGATGAGCCACTGAGTCATTGGGGAGGTGGAAGGTCACAGCTTGGGGGTACACCAAAGCCCAATGATACGAAATAGTATCCCACACGTCTTCCAGGCCCTTAACTCAAGAAAGGATCACGTCACTTATTCAGATAGAGCAGTCCCAAGGTGAGGGCTCTTGCTCATTTCCAGCCTTACAAAGTGAGTTCTGCCGCCCGCTCATATAGCCACAAATGGCCCACACTGAGGGCAGTCTGACCATTTTGTAAAAAGTCTATATTGGGAGCTGATTCTCCAGATAGGTGCCAAAGTGAAACACAATTTCAGTACATCATGCCCCTGCTTACACTCTCCAATGTCTTCCCATCTCATCCAGACCAACAAGCTCCTCGTGACGATGCCAAAGCCTGCACAGTCTCCCTCCTATCCAACCTCCTATCCCAACACCCTCTGCCCCGCTCACTCCACTCCCGCCCCACTGGCCTTCTTGCTGTTCCTTGAATCCACCAAGTGCCACCTTATACCAGGACCACGCACATGCTGTTCCCACTGCCTGAACACTCTTCCCTCGCATTTCTGCATGGCTTAATCTTTTGCTTCACACAGGTCTCTGCTCAAGGCCACCTCCTTAAGCAGCTCTTCACTGACCACCCTACCTAAAACAGGATCATTCCTCATGACTTTATTCTTCACCCGACTCTATTTTCTACATTGCACTTATTGCTTAGAATATTACATTATAGACTTAGTAATTGACTGGCTTACTTATCATCTGCCCCACTAGGGAGTAAGCTCCTCATCCTCTGAGGCCGATAAAAGTGGCCTAGAAAGAGGGGATGCTTTAAAAATAGTATTGACTGAGAAAATAAATAAATGACAATAAATAACTGAAAAGGAAATTAAAGACACAAAGAAAAAGCCACCAATCCTCTACAAGAAGCCCTATAATCTTGCAACATATCGATCAAAACAAGGCCAGAGTCACCCCTAAAATACCCACCTACAGTGGTCTGGACTTCCTTAAATGTTAAGCTCTGTAAGGTCATGAATGCACTTTCAGAAGAACAAGGCTAGCAACAAGATCGGTTTCCATGGATCAGCTCGCATTTAGCCATGGGAGGATTATCCACAGAAAACATGTAAGTTCCCATTCTACTACCCGCTGCTGCCGAGCTACTTTGAGGCATTGCCCTTGCATTCAGTTAAAATTAGTTTAAGGAGTACAAACTAATCTTGATAGTAACCTAAGAGAAGCAGAATTAGAATTATAGGCCTCCTTCACACATACACACACACACACAGCTAACTTCTTATCCAATCCAAACTTAAATCTTAAATGTGAACAACTGGAGATCATGTATGCCAGCTCTCCCTTCCAATAATGTAAAGGCTTGCTACATACAAGTATATATATAGTAAGTATTACTAGTGAATAAAATAAGATTTGTAATACATTTACTCAATCCTAAAGTTACTTAACAACTGGGCCCATAGACAGATCTGTAAATGTGTTGATTTCCAGCTACATTCACAGTGTAGCAGACAATTTCCCAAGAAACGTGGTAGAAGACAACTTACCAAAGGTGAGGAGGGCAGCGCTGAGCAGTGCTGCGGGGAGGGACTTGGACAGCTCCAGTACAGTGAGGTAGGCAAAGGGGATCAGCAAGGAACCGAGGAACGCACAGAACTACGGAAGGAAAAGAGAAGCAGTCAAATAACCAGATTAGCTAAGGCTCAGAGACCTACAAGCTCAGGTCTAAGATGGAAGACCCCAATGAGGACATGGTGACCTAAACCAGCTGGCACATGTATGAATGAGAAAGGGGTGGTGTAACCGTGAGGCATCAAATCAAGCAGCATTTAGTTCCCACTGAGCACCAACTTGTGCACTGACACGAAATCAGCAAAGTTCAGCCAGGGAGGCGTGAGCAGGATGGCACACTGGTTTCAGGTGGGGGATGCCGTTAGACTGCCTATCACTATTAGCTGTGACCCTGAGGAAGTCACATGTCTCTTTACTCAGCCTCCCCTTCTGTGTAATGTGAAGAATCAGAGTTCTTACCTCAAAGGGTTTATACTCTGAAGATTAAATGACCTAAAGTTTGTTAACACACAGGAAGTACTTGATAAACATTAGCTTCTATTACAAAATTATGGACACAAGTTAAGACCTCTCTGAGGTGTTTTAATATTGTAGAGAATTCTGTTATTTCTCCCTTAGCCCTTTTCTTCAGTCATACCAGGAACCACTCTTAATCTACAGGTGGTATTCTTACTTTAGCAAAAAGAATGCTTTGCGCTTCAGTAACTGGACGGTTTTTTTGTTTTGTTTTCAACCACAAGCCTTCTCTGTACCTCTCCACCTTATCCATCAAGAGTAAACAGGCAAGCCCAAGGGAGTGGAAATTCTCACATTTGGGCTGTCGCCTTTTGTTAACAGAAAGCAATGTGCCCTAGTGTGAAAGGGAACACCGCTGTCATATTTGCCTTCTCAATTCCCATAACAAGTTCACAGTGAGTCAGGCCTATATCCAATTATGCATGCTATATGGTATTCAAAAGTCATTAAGAAGACACAGGATCACTTAGAATATGAACTTGAGGGTATGGGACACTTCTTGTTTAATATGGTATCATATGACCATGCAAATTATCCAACAATTTGTCCAAATAAGCACTTTGTATTTATCTAAAGTGTTTGAGCTCCTCAATGAAAGGGGTTTGTAAATGTAACTTGCTTTGAGAGCTCTACGTTGAAGGTCAGTTTCTTCAGGTCTCATTCAGCTACAGGTATGGAGTACCCAGAGTTGGGTGTTAAGGCCCTGCCATGCTCCATCAAGGCTGCTGCTGGGACACAGGGAACAGAGGAAGCGGACACACGGCCTCCCTCCAAAGACTGGCACACCGCTGTGTGTGCCTGAAACCTTCATGGGAAAGAAGTAGGAACCTGGTACCAGGAGTGTGGGGATGCTGAAGTCTTAAGAAAGGGCCCTCAGAGATAAGCAACACTCCAGCAAGTGTGGTCTGAGAGAGGAAGAACATGTAGCTTGCCAATGTGCTGAGGCCAATGCTGGGACTACAGGAGACTCCTGGCTGCCTGGCTGCCTGGGTCCCAGGCTGCTCTCCAACTTGCAGTCTGACGCCTCACATGGGCATAATAGATGATAGAGTGGACTTGCTCTTATCTGTGTTATCTCCATTATCTTTGGCCTCCCCTTCCCTTCTTACCCACATCAGTTCTGAGTCTCTACACCTGAATTTCTACTACAGGGCATGGATCCAGTCATCCTCCCCCCACCCCAAAGTCTGTTGTGTACACCTGCCACCACCCCAGGATTTCCAACTGTAACATTTGTGAGTGTGGCCACAGGGCGCAGTGAGGCCCTTTCAAGTCATGAAGCCTTACTCCTCTCATTCCCATGTAGTTGTGATGCTCGTATCTGTCCCCAGGCTTCTGGAACATAAAGGTACCGTCATATCCACTCAGGTAGCCAGCAAGACCTATCAGCATCTGAGAGAGAGAACAAACAGAAACAATGAGAGACCTTTGAGAGGAGATTCCTTCATCCCCTAAACTTCCCTCCAACAGCACCCAGACTGTGGTCTCCCTTGACAACTGTCCATAGAAGGAGTTGACAATGTGACATTTTCTCCTGCAGCTGTTGAAAGCAAGATTCTTTTGTCTATAGAGCTCATTGCTTGAAACAAATCCTCTCTTGTTTAAGGACAAGTTCTTGGGAACAGTGCAGACTGGACACTTAGAAAGAAAAAAATCCCACAATTTGAAGGGCAGGGCCAGTGAGGGGCTCGCTCATCAGCCTTCTTTTATTTGCTATGAAATAAAAGCTGATAGCTCATTGTGGGGGAGGGGAAGGAGAGGGGCTGATTCCTGGGGAGACTGGAAAATGAGGTTCCAACTCAGAATGAGGAGGTAGGAAAGTGGCCAAGTTTCTAAACATCAGGAATAGAGACAGGGAAGGGGGTGGTGGGGGGGGGGGAATAGAAAAGAGAAAAGACAGCTGCATTTCCCCAGAGGGGAACAGAAGAATCCCAGTGGAAAAAATGCCAAAAGGCCAGAGACTGGCTTCTCCTTTTTCCAGTATTCCAAAGAGTGGCAACCTTGGCACATCCCAAACCAGAACAAATCAACCATAAACTATGACGAGAATCCTTCAAAACATTCGGAGGGTCAGCCTCTTTCTATCTTTCCTTGGCCATCAACAGTGTAAAATTCTTTTCACACAAGCAATCAGAAGCAGCGAAAACATAAAAACTGCCAGCAAACACCAAGCATCTGTAACAGCCCCAGGCTGCCCAGCCCAACCAGTGTTCGGTTAGGCCAGTGGTCGGCAAACTCATTAGTCAACAGAGCCAAATATCAACAGTACAACGATTGGAATTTCTTTTGAGAGCCAAATTTTTTAAACTTAAACTATATAGGTAGGTACATTGTTATTAACTTAATTAGGGTACTCCTAAGATGGCCTTTGCTAAAAACGTCCTCAATCTGATGGAGGTACGTTCGCTGAGGTCGACCCCTCCTAACTCTCCCATCCACACTCGTCTTGTATACTTGTTTCGTCTATCTCCTTTTGTTCATCCTCTCTATATGTCCAAACCATCTCAACATACCTTTCTAACTCTCGACACTACATCTTCTTTCACTCCACAACATTCCCTAAAATTAACTTAATAAACTTTACTTAAAGTTTTAAGTCCACTTCGCACTGTATGTGCACGCCCGCACATGGTATTTTGTGGAAGAGCCACACTCAAGGGGCCAAAGAGCCGCATGTGGCTCGCAAGCCACGGTTTGACAACCACTGGGTCAGGCTGTGTGGAGGGAAAACCTCTCCCAGCAGCACTGCTTGTGGGGGCCTGGATTTGGACCACTAAACCAGCTCACTCTTTTCTCTAAGTAGTTCCAAACAGAGTTGCTATCTATAGTTCCATGTCCAAGTATAGAACCCCAAGTTCAGCAGTGATTATAAAGCCTTGTTTAAAAAAAAAAGAAGGAATCTCAGGGTCCAGAGGTTAATTTAATATAATTAATTTAATACAAAGTAATGTAAGGCATTAGAAAGACAGAGTCATCCAAATACCCAGATGAACTAAAACTGGCAGGTGACCATCCCAGCAGATGCTCCTACCTATCTGGCGTCTCAGAGGACAAGCTGCCTGGTGCTGGTCTGCATTCCCAGATTGCTTGGCTGGTCAGGCTGTTCCTTCTCAGTTCCTTCAAGATTAAAAGTAGCCCTGAGCTAATTTCCTACTAAGAGACTCATTCAAATCAATGAGAAAAGGAACAACCTACTAGAAAAATGGGCAAATTCATAGAAGAGAAAATACAAATCACTAATAAACATATGAAAAAGAAATGTCCAACCTAACTCATAAAGATGCAAATGAAAACAGTGATGTACCACTTTTTACTTTCAAGTTGGAAGTTTTGACAGTATAATCACACCAGTGCTGACAATGGTGTGGGAAGCAAACACCCTCATACACTGTTGGTGGGACTATATAATAGTGCAAAAATTTTCAGGAAAACCTAGCAATCTCCACCACAAATTTAAATGTCCCTTTAACTCTCTAGTTTGCCCACTGAGAATCTTTCAGATACACCTGTACAACTATGAAAATATATAGATACAAGGATGTTCATACAATATCTTTTGCTATGACTAAAAGTTGGAAATAACACAAATGCCCATGAATTGAAGAGAGGTAAAATAATTTATAGCACATCTATATAATGGAATAATACAGTCATTAAAAAGAATGGAGTACATTTTTATGTGCTAATGTGGAAAGAATTGAAGAAACATCAAGTTTAAAACACAAGTTGTTACCCTGACCGGTATGGCTAAGTTGGATGGGCACTGTCCTGTTCAATGAAAGATTGCCAGTTTGATTCCTGGTCAGAGCACATGCCCAGGTTGCAGGCTTGATCCCTATGGGGAGCGGGGGGGGAGGGGGGGGGGGGGTTACAGGAGGCAGCCGATTTATGTTTTGCTCTCATATTAATGTTTTTCTCTCTCCTTCTCTCTAAAAAAAAAAAAAAATCAATAAACTATTCCTTTTTTTTAAATACAAGTTGCTGAACAATTTTAGTCTGATCCAGTTTGCATAATGTGCTGTTCATATGAACTAATATTTATGTTTATAAATATGTACACACTTATCCTATATAATAAAAGCCCAGCAACCGAAATGGTGGAATGACCAGAATAACCAGAGACCAGAACACCACTGCCCCTTGCCCTGGCTTGCCCCACCCGCCAGGGAGCAGTTAGGGGCAATCAGGCAGGCAGGCAGGCAGGCAGGCAGAGTGTTTAGGGGCAATCAGGCAGGCAGGCAAGTGGTTAGGGGTGATCAGGCAGGCAGGCGAGCAGTTAGGAGCCAGCAGTCCCAGATTTTGAGAGGGATGTCTGGCTGCCAGTTTAGGCCCAATCTGCAGGGATCCTTGCAGGATCGGGCCTAAACCAGCAGTTGGACATCCCCTGAAAGGTCCTGGATTGTGAAAGGGTGCAGTGTGGCCTGGCTGAGGTACACCCCCCTCCCCGCATGAATTCTGTGCACTGGGCCTCTAGTATTTGTATAAAAAGTTTCTGAGAGGATATATAAGAAATTTAACAAAGGTGACCATAGAGTAACCTCTGAAGAATCGAAATGTGAGGGAAGGTAGCTTTTGACCTTCTATTTCCTTCTGTACCAATCACATTTTTTACTATGTGCAGGCATTTTTATTTCTTTAATAGTACCTATTTGACTGGAGCCCAGGTGCCCAGGGCTGGGATCTGTGTGAAGTGTCAGGTATGGGCTTCAGTACTGGAAGAGAAAATGCCCTACTCACTCCTTAAAGGGGCTTTGACTGGCTTAGCCTCGGAACCTATGGAAGCTACTCTGCTCTCTTTCACGGTTTTCTAATTTGCTCATCACTGTCTTTCAGCCAAGTAGAGCACAGGATCACTAGGAGGTAAGTGAGAGGAGCAAGTGGACTGCACTCCCTGGAGGCAGGCTTAGAACGAAGCCTCACGTGTCTCCCTCCATACAGGACCAGAAGTGAGGAAGGGAAGGCTCAGGAAAAACAAATCAGCCAGTGTTTTCCATCGTCACTGTGCCAATCACAAGGGGACTCCAAAAGCCACAGGCTGAAAGACTAAGCTGGATTTCCTACAAAAAGCCTCCTCTCCAGAGGTCCGGTTCCCAAGCTTTATTCTTTCTCTCCATTTATTTTTTATTTTCAATTGAGATAAAAGTCATTGTACTGTAAAATTCACCATGTTAAAGCATACTGAGGTTTTAGTCTATTCACAAGATTGTGCATCTAATTCCCGAACATTTCATGACTACCTAATTCCTGAACATTTCATCACCCCAAAAAGAAACTCCACACCCATCTGCAGTCATTCCTCAATCCCGCTCCCCCCAGACCCTGGCAACTACTAATCTTCTTTCTGTCTCTGTGGATTTGCCAATTCTGGACATTTCATATAAATGGACTTATACAATATGTGGCCTTTTGTGTCTGGCTTCTTTCACTTAGCATACTGTTTATAAGTTCATCCACGTTGTAGCATGTATCAATACTTTGTTCCATTTTTATAGCTGAATAATATTCCACTGTATAGATATAACACATTTTGCTTATCCATCCATCAGTTGATGGACTCTCTCCATTTCTGAGCCCAGAGGACCCCTAAAAATACCAAAGATTTTTCATGAAAGCAACTGGTCTGGAATGTCAGGGAATTCTTTCTACGAGGCCAAGAATTAAATCCAAAACCAAGACTTGGCTGTTGTTCACCACTGCTTACCTTTCCCAGAGGAGGGTGCACATCAAAGAAAAAGGTTCGGTTAATATAGTAACTTCCCATTTTTCCAAAGTGAGTCTCATCCCAACTAAAGGAAAAACAAAGAGAAATGAGAATTTTTAAGTTATCATACAACCCAAATAGCCTTAATAGAGCATGATTAAAATTATAGTTAAAACCAAAGACTATGAGTTTTAAGCAATTAATAAGAAAATGTGAATTTAAAAAAAAAAAGTTTTTGACATACTGATTTGAGGAAACAAGACATCAAGCTGGTCATTAAACTTCATTTAGATAAGTTTTTAAAAGTTAGCAAATATTGACCAACCATTTATCATAAATTTAAGTTGAATCTATACTTATTCTGTATCTTGAGTTTCTATGTATTTTAAAGAGGCAGAATTTTCTTATAATATAGAAAGGTTTGTAGTAAGGGTTTTCTTCCAAGGCTGTTAAACTTCAAACTCTGAGACTACATTTGCTACTAGAAATTACATTACTATAATCACAACCTACACTGTGGGCTACTGATCAGAGAGAGCCTAGAAACCATGGTGTTACAGAAGTCTGATTTTGTTTATCAATCTGTGGTAATTAACCTACTGACTATGAACTTGCTGGTCTTATTACAATGAACTATTATGTAAAAGTTGAGGGTTTTCTTACTAAGAGTCTAAAATATATTCTCACTGCACAAATAATTTTGCAAGGCAATAAGTGATTCTAACACATTATCTTTTAAACACATTGCAGTCTTGTTCTTCTATACAACGACATAAAACTTTTTTTTAAATATATATTTTTTTTATTTCAGGGGGGAAGGGAGAGGAAGAGAGAAACATCAATGATGAGAGAGAATCCTTAATCGGCTGCCTCCTGCACACCCCATACTGGGGATTGAGCCAGCAACCCGGGCATGTGCCCTGATCAGGAATCAAACGTGAGCTCCTGGTTCATAGGTCAACGCTCAAGTACTGAACCACACTGGCCGGGTAACACATTACCTTCTGAACACAATGCAAAGTCTTGTTCTTCTATACAAGGGTACAGCCTTGGAAGAAAACCACATCAAACTTTTTACACCCCACATGAGGGCTTTGCAGTGGCAGCCCAATTACCCAGCAGTATTTGGCGACAAGCATAGGATACTGAGAGATTGCTTTCTATAAGAGAAAGGACAAGGACCACCCCCACAGGCCAGTTTAGAGGATATGAGAAGACTCCCCAGAATCTGGTAGTGAATGCTCTTGCTCAGTGATAGGCAGAGAAGGTAGTAAAATTCCTCACTATCCTACCTGTGCATGAGCCTGAGCAGAGAGAGAGGCAGGATTGAAACCAAACGCCTAAGCCTTGGTTACTGCTCACTCTCCTCTGGGTGGGAGGAGGAAGAGACGTGATCATGTCCATGGGCAGCAAACCTAGGAGCCCCTGCCCAAAGGCAATATGGATGTGGCTGCTGAATCAAGAAGTCTCTGAAGCTTACATCAATGGTGCCAGCAGTAAGGACCTTAATATTCACTGTAGAACTTTAGGTGAAATGAAAACTTTGGGTGAGCTGTGTACTCAAGCCAAACGTAAATGCTCCTTGCTTAGATGTTCAGAGCCATTTTCTCCCTCCATGTCCCATGATCCCTCCCCTTCTACCATAACCTCAGCTGCTTTAAAAAGTAAGATGATTAAAGGTAGGCCAAGGTCTCACTGTCCCCAAAGGGGGCTGAAGGCCATACACACCCATCCTACCATGCTGGGCAACTCCAGGGAGGAGAGGCACTCAAACTCAAGACTCTATTGGAATCAGGGGCCCACATCTCCTCCCTCCCTACTCAATCCCATGAGAGGAGGATTTGCTGGGTGCAGGAGTTACCAAAGGTGCTGAGGAATGCATGGAGAGCCACAGCAGTGTGTGCAGGGACTAAAAGAAAAGGGTCCCTAAGCCCCGGGGCTCACCAGGCACATGGCAGTGCATTGGGGAGGAAGTGGTGCTAAGCCTATCAAGGGACTAAAGAAGGAAAAAACTTCCTCCACCCGTTGCATCCAGCATTCCCCATACTCACTACTGGGGAATGGTGTGATCTCTGTGTGGCTGTCGCTATTGCTACTGATGCCCAATTCAATTGGAAGGTTTGAACCAAGTTCCCAGTGGGAAAGTGAAGATAATGTGACCTTGTGGGTAGTGCTCTTCACCATTATTGTGGCATACACTGCTGAATGTATAACTGGTATTGATCCCGTAAGTGTCAAGGAAGATTATCCCATTCAGGGACTGCCACATACTGAGCTGATACTATCCCCTCCTTGGTCCAGGAAAAAAATATATATATAAATCCCAAGAAGAGAAAGGGAAAGCACAGCTTTAAAGACGGAATGGGCAGCTGGAGCGCCCAGGGGCAATTCTCCATGATAATAGCACCCCCTGCTGGATGCAGGCACCAAGTACATACTTTTTTAAAGAGGCAGCTATCAACCTACTACCATACTAATTAAGCTCTTGTCGAAATTGAGTGCCTGCCATGAAGGCCTTAGGACCCCCTGCCACTTTGGGGTGGGCCAACTTGGAATCTATGCCTAATAAGGAAAGGGCTCAACAAGCCTCACTGGTCAAATGGAAATGGTATATTGAAGAGTATAGCTGACCCGGCTTGAGACATTTTGATTTTCCATGAAGAGATGGTAGCTCTTCCTTTGGGAAAAACTATCTTTCTCTCGACCACCTAAAGCAAAGCCACTGTCTCAGTGGAGCCCTTGATGCAGAGGTTCTTCTCAATGCTTGTGCCTGGTTCACTGAGGTTGACTAAACTAAAAGCTGATGGAGTCCACTGGCAGCAGCAGTCATCCTGCCCCTGTGACAACTCCGGAAGGCTGCCTGCAATAAGGGGTGATGGTCATAATGGGCTGAATTGGAAGATTTCACAATCTTTGTTTTGGGCAATACTCCTAAGGAACGGACAAGTTGTATTTATTCTTGGGCACTTGCCATTGGCCTAGCCATCTGTTGTGCCACTTGGAAGATTATGTATTGAGAGATTAAAACATCCCTCTTTGGAGCCAAGAACTGCAGGAAAAAATCATGCTGCCTACTGACAGGACAACCTGGATCACTCACATGGATGACCATGGTAAGGGCTGGTACATCTGATCAGACTGACTGGAATTAAGCTGCTGATCAAACTTGTGCCACAGACTGCTGCCATTGCACCAGACCTGGAAACACATCTACTATCGTGGACTGGGTGCAAAGTAAAGGACTCTATGTTTCTGAAGTTGAAGCCATCACTGCATTGTGGCAGCCTAAAGTTGGCCTGTTAGTCTTTCAGTAAAAGAAGCCAATTGCACGGGGCATTGACTACTCCAAGGAAAGTGACTACAGTAGGACTTCGTTACCGCTCTGGAGTATCGTTGGTGCCTCATTTCAGATTACAGTGCTGATGATGCTGTTCCAGTACAATCCTCTGACGCAAGATACACCAATGTGGACCTTTAAACTAAACCAAGTCATGTTTCCAGCTTTCCAAAGCATCCACAGTCTGACAATGGTGCCTTTCTTTTTTTTTTTTTTTTTTTTTTTTTTTTGCAATGGCCACCCAATAATGGGCCAACAGTCAAGTATTTGATGAGATTCCACACTCCCTAGCTTTCACAGGCACCTGATATTGTCAAGGACTGCACAGTCCTCTCAAAAAGATTTCTGACTCTACTCTCTCCTGGTCTGCACACCTTAGTAAAACAGCTCTGTCACCTAATGCAGTCAGCACCAGGAACAGTTCGCCTCCTCTTGGCCACCAATTGGGTAATGGTAAGGATAAAAGGGGTAGAGGGTTGCATAAACCTATTTTGAAAACTTGAGATTCTTCCCAAACCATTCGTGGGCATGATTCCCTAACAGCAACCCCAGATCAGCCTGGGGACAGCTATGGGATACAAACTTAATTCTAGCTCAGGCACCGGAAGCTGGGCGGACATGGTCCTAGAGTATAAAGATAATGACCACTTGACTGCTTGTCAAGCCCCCTACAGTGACTCATCTGGTCTCTGCCAATTTTCTACTAATGGTCTTGGCAAAAAAAAAGGTCTGGATATTATACGGGATACCTGGAGAAAAGGTGAAGTTATGGGTACTAAAGTGATACACCCTAATATAATTATATGATGGCAGAGGAAGAAAAGAAACAATTTTGGAAGCTGGGAAGGTAATATCTTAGTCCTCAGGAAACGTAAAGAAAAGGGAAACAATTAATGATCCTTTCTCCTCTAGGTCCAGAACCAATGCCTGGTAAACATCCATATGGTCCATCTAAATCAGGTGGCAGCTGTGGCTGGCAATCTGACTTTCTACTGAGTTTGTCAGTGTGCTATGAAATCAGAAAAACTCACGTAGATGTGGCCTATCTTAACTATTCTGACGTGCCTGATAGCATCAACTCCCAAGCACAGACACCATATGTGTGCAAACACACAAACTGGAACAACCTTCTCTCAATCTAATACAAATTCATATGCTCCTCCTGACACTCTAGGGGCCTTAGGTTATGCCTTGTATAGCAACTGAGGTTGCAACAACTCTGACACTCACTGCTCATGTGGCTTAACCAAACTACTGTAATGCAATCTAAATCAAATTTCATGATGATCCAAATAAAATTTACAAAAAGTCCTGAATTGGAGTGGCCTGTACCCCTTCAGGTAATATATTAGGAAGAGTGGGCCACAGAATGTCTTCCCATTGGGCATGAAAGTTGCTTTTTTTTAATGGAGGACCCACTGTAATTATTGTCAATGACACCAAAGATTAGAAGTCAGTCTAAATACCTGTGCAGAGATCATAATGGGTAACATACTGGTCTCAGACTTTTTAAAATATGTATGTGTTTTTATTGATTTTTAGAGAGGAAGGAGAGGGATAGATAGAAACATCAATAAAAGAAGCATCATTGATCAGATGCCTCCTGAATGCCCCCTACTGGGGACAGAGCCCACAACCCACACATATGCGCTGACTGGGAACTGAACTGTGACCTCTTGCTTCCTAGGTCAACGCTCAACCACTGAACAGTCAGACTATATCCCAGCTATCTAAAATAAGACCTACTGGTCCTTTCCTCACCCCCTGATCTGTACACTTAATTATTCACAGGTGGTTGGATCTAGAGCCCTGGGGAACATGGTTGAGATTAGCACAAGTTGGCCTCATCCTGCTGCTTAGAAATGAAAGCAGCCTTCATTAAATGAACAAATTGAACAGATTTGGTTCCTGCCTGTGTCAGCCAAGTTAATCAGAGTAGCCAATGGAGTTGTGAGAATTTGCTAGAAACCAAGACAGTGTAGGATCGAGGGGTGAGACTATTGGGAGATACAATCCTCCGTGGGTCTCTTGTACGTCCACACATCTTGCTGGGTATGCCAAGAATGCAAGGCCCTGATTGCACTTTACCTGGGCCATTTCTCAGAGCTGTGTTTACACCAAGCAACCTTGACTAAAGAGGTAATGTCACTCACCAGGACAAAAAGTAAGCTTGCTTACTGCTTGCTATAAAATAGTACATTCCCCAAGCTGTTGTTCCTCAAAGCTGCAAAAAACCCCACTTGTGTGCAATCATCCATCTGGGCCCAGAGCATGACCCAGTGGGACTTCCGGGGACAAGGGAAACGGACTCCAACATGCCATTATTCATCCTGCTTCCTGTGTGGTGGTAAAATGTCCTTTGTCTCTGACCCAGGAGTCTCATGTCTTCTGCCAAAACTCATGAAAAAAGCTAATTTATTAACTTACAAGCTAGCAGTTGGTTAGTGTGCTTGCTTTTTTAGGAGTTCCATTTCTAACACCTAATGAAATCTGACCCATATTTCAGTCCTGCAACTGACTCTACAAACTAAAATCTTTCAGAAAATAACTATCTCCTCACAGGATGGCCCCAGACCTGCTTCCTAGAACCCCTGTCACCAACCCGGGACACCCAAGTTGTCCCTGCTCCCAAGGATCAAAGTACCCAGTTAAGAATTCCCCCCTCCACTGACGCTTGGAAATTCTGCAGATCAGGAACTCAGACCTTAGGAAATTCAGTACTAAGGATTTCCGGTTCTCCTTGGAAAGTTCAAAGCACCTTTAAGGGCCACAATTTGAGAGCCAGGTGAGACCCTACAGCATAACCTGGAAGGCATCCAGGCTGCTTCCTCAGAGCCCAAGAATCCCACTGCCACCCACCGGAGCAAAGGTTCAGGCTTGCTATTAGCCAGGGGCAAACACCGGAAACCTCAGTTTCCCTTCCAGCGCGACCCCGCCCCTCTCCCTGTGGATCCCGCCCCCTCCGTGCCCCACGACCAATCAGAGGATGCGTCTCTCCTTCCAGGTTACCATGGTGCCCGCCGAGTCCCGCCCGTCACTCACCAGACATGAGGTGGCTGGTCCAGACGATAGAAGCGGGTGGCGAAGGCCAGCAGCGTCATCAGGGCCAGCAGAACCCACCGGCACGCCGCCTCGGAGGGCCGTGAGCCCAGAGCAGGCCGTTTGGGGCTCTGCCCTGCAGCCTCAACCGTGGGCACGCTGGCCGTCCTGCCTAGAAGCCACAAAGGGGCAGCTCGGGGTCCCCTGGGAAATGTAGTTCCCTGCGCCGACAACGGGGCGCGGACCTCGGCCTCAGGGCTGGGCGGGGAGCGCGGTGGACTCGGCCGCTAAGGAGGCGGCCAGTGGCGCAGAGCATGACGGACCAGAGGGCCATGCGGGCCGGGCCGGCAGAAAACGGGCTCCGGGAACTGCAATTCCCAGCAGCGCCGGGCCTGGGGCGTGGCGAGCTAGGAGGGACCATAAAGATCATTCTATTAGTCCAACCCCGCGCTTTCCCCAGGCGGAAGCCTGGGTTCCGAGGTGTCGGTGTCCCACGGGCCTCAGGCGTCGACGAGTCGGGGAATCCCAGGCGCGATTTCTGAACGAGGGGTCGCCGGAAGTGCGAGATGCAAGTGGGGAAGGTCTGTGCCGCGCATCCGGGGAGAGGGGCGCTACTCCAACACTGAGAACCTGGGGGCGGGGTCAAGGGGAGTCGGCCCCGCCCACAGTTCCAGCCACGACTCCCAGCTTGCAGTGCGCTCCGCTGCTCCCGCTTCGCGCCTGCGCGCTGCTTGATGGGGGCTGTGGTCCCGGGAGGGTGGGGCCCGCGGCGGCGTACCCTCGTGGGGCCCTGCCGTGGGGTCGGGCAGTCGGTCCCACGCACTTCGCCTGATTCTCCACCCCTCTTCCTGGGCTCCCAAACATCATTCCTCGCCAGCCGGGTCGGCACAGCCCTGCGTGTCGGCCCGAGAGAACAGTTAACATATGGCTTGCAGGGTTGCTTGCATTTGAGAGCACATCAGGGGCGAGGGGCGGCGGTGGCGCTTCCCAGTCCCCTGAGGAGCTGCCTGTGACAATCTTTGGAGGAATGGGCCCGAGAATCTGCAGGTTTTAACACGCGCCCCCGGAGAACTGCTGTCGTAGCTCGAAGGAGGGTGGCAGGCACATCAGGTGGGATATCACTTCCATACTGTAGAGCTCGCCCAGTCCCAAATGGGATTTTAGGGGTCTTTTTCTGAAGTCATGATGGTTTAAAAAATCGATGACAACCATATCCTCGGGTGAGGATTTAAAAAATAAAATCTGCTAGAGTGGTCAGAATCTATACTAAAATTGGAAACAGAATTCCTCCCAGAGTCGTGGTGGGATGGATACTTGGGCTTAAAATTCAGCTCTGCAAGTGTGAAAAGGAACACGGGATGGTTTGTGTAATTGTTGGTAAAAGAAAGAGTGGAAACTGCCCATCAGTATGGCAGCTGATGGCCCATAAGGAGAAAACCTGAGGGCAGAGGCGTTTACAGTGACTCTGGCACCCTTAGTACAGGTCAAAGGTGTAGCATTTAGGAGTCAGGAGGGCATTGCTTAAAGGGTTCTTGAGCTGACGTCTGCCACTCTCTAGGGGTCCGTCCCTCGCCAGCAGTCCCTATCCTGGCCCCAGGGGCCTCTCTAGTCTGGCTCAGTAAGGAAAATGATGCACCTCCGAATAAAGTACACCCAGCTGCAGCCACCCAACTCTTGCCCTTCTGAGGACACCCGCTGCCCATCACCTGCCCTCTGTGCCAAGAAAAAAGGTGCCTTCAGTACAGGCTGGAACTTCCCGGCTCAGTAACCAACGTGGGAGGGCCTGGGTTATCACAGGTACTCTTGCCCACCTAGAGGACAGAACTGGTAGGTCAGGGATGATGTGAGCGAGCGGGTTCAGATCGCAGCTTGGTGTGCTGGGGGACGCAAAAGGGAGAGGGAACTTGGGTGAAATGTCGGTAGTCAGAGGAATAGTAGAAAAATTCTATTTTCTCCCTCATCCATGTGGATACATGTGTCTGCCGGGGCATTCGTGAGTGCTAATTACTGTCCTGGGTCCTGCTTTGAAATGCAGGTTACCCAATAAGCACCAGAGGGATTATCTTTGAGTCTCTTAAACTTTAGAGGAGAGGTCACATTCTCAGCTGCAGAGGCCTGAGGACAACAAGAAAGAAGTGGGCCAAGTGGGGCCATGGCAGACGGGGAAGGCATGCCCTGACTTAAGGGGGCCATTAATAGCTCCAATAAATTGCTGCTCAGGAAGCCAAGTTCACTGCCTCCAGATTTTATAACAAAAAAAAGACAACAGGATTTGTATATGAAACATCCTGATTTTTTAATGTTGGCAACTACAATCATCCCTCGATATCCACGGGGCATTGGTTCTAGAAGTCCTGTCCCCCACAGATACCAAAATCTGAGGATGCCCAAGTCCCTTATATAAAATAGCATGGTATATTTTAAATCACTTCTAGATTATGTATAATACCTAACATAGCGTAACTGCTATGTAAGTATTTGCCCTACTGTATTGTTTAGGGAATAATGACAAGTGAAAAGGTCTGTACATATTCAGTACAGACCCAACCAAGGCAACCATCATAGGCTTGACTACATAGTACACGTCAATAACAATGTAATGTTTTCTTCTGAATATTTTCCAACTGTACTTGGTTGAATCCACACCTTCAGATAAGGGGAGGGATAAGTGTAATCGAAACATTTTTAAAAACTGTGTAGACCAAACAGAACCTTGGGCTGCCAGTTTGCGACCTCAGCTTTGGAACGAATGGGCAGAGACCCCAGCTATTTTTATGAGACCGACTGATAGCCTGGAGGACTGGTGGGTCGGGGGGTTGAAAGCAATGGACACAAAAGTATCAAGAATTAGAATTCCTAGGGAGCAAAAGGGGGGGGGATGGGAGACATCTGTAATACTGTCAGCAATAAAAGATAAAAAATAATTAGAATTCCTGGTCTTTCTGCTAATGCTGGAAGGAATCTAAGCCATCATTTTAGGGCAGCTCTTAATTTTACAGAATAGAGAAGGCAGGGGTTTACTATTTTTTGTCCAGGGTCATACAGAGCTGGTTCCTGCATGGGGATCAGACCCACATATGCCAGCTCCCAGCCTACTGCACCCCCTGAACTACTTACCTCAAAACTAGGCTACCCTGTCTGCCCAGGACACCAAGCCTAGCTCCACCAGGAGCGTAAGACACCTCCCAAAGTTTGGGAAAAGGTGCCCCTTCAGACCTGAGTCAAAGTCCCCCTGCTGCCTGCGAGCGCAGTGTCCCCATTGGCTCATGGGATCTGCCCCTTCCGGATCCCTCCCCCTGCCCTGCTGCTCTGTGACAGGGGACATTCCTCAGGAGGCCAAGGGTCACCACGGCACCATGACTGAGTCTGGCAAGGTAAGGAGAGCCCGTGCAAGCTGGCTGTCCTTTTGGGGGTTCTTGTCAGACCTCAGGAGTGCACGACAGCACAGTTTGGAGCCAAGGGACTACACAGGACTCCTGAGGCCTCTGACCCAGATGCTCTGCCGCTGGCCTGAGGGAGGAGGCCTGGCGGGATGGGGAGGCACAGTGCTGGCGTGGACCCCTGGCCGGGGCTGGGGCCTCCTCTCCAGTGGGCTCCTGGGCTGGGACCCCACCACATGGGTTAATGTACCCCTGTCCTCTCGTTCCTCAGCCCATCCTCTATTCCTACTTCCGAAGCTCGTGCTCCTGGAGAGTTCGAATCGGTAAGAGCTGCGCCTCCACCACAAGCCTCGTTGGGGTGGGATGGGGTGGAGGAAGCCCCAGGTGAAAATGATGACCTGGGCCCTGGCCGGTTTGGCTCAGTGGATACAGCATCGGCTCATGGACTGAAGGGTCCTGGGTTCGATTCCAGTCAAGGGCACGTTGGTTGCAGGTTCCCAGGCCCTGGTTGGGATGCATGCAGGAGGCAACCAATGGATGTGTCTCTCTCATATCTATTTTTCTCTGTCTCTCCCCCTCCCTTCCACTCTCTCTAAAAATCAATGGAAATATATCCTTGGGTGAGAATTAACAGACCAAAAAAAAAAAAAGATGGCCTGGGACAGAGGGGTGCTCTACCAGACAGGTCTTCTCCTCCTCCCCTCCAGCAACCAGCACCCCAGTCTCCTGGAGCCCTCAGCACTGAATGGCACCTCCACCTAGGAAGTCCAACCAGAGGGGGGGGTTGGGGGCAGGGTACAAGGCCTGGAAGGTTGTTTTTTCTCTTGGGCCGTGCCTCTCCCACCCTGCCCTCCAGAGCTCCTTAGCAACCATGCTTAAAGCAGGCTCACACATCTAGAGGACCTTGGTAACTGGCAGGAAACAGCTGGCCGTCCTCAGGTCTTATCGTATTTGATCTGACCAATTAAACAGAACTGGCCACTGGCCACCCCAGTTTAATCCTTCCCTCCCGCAGTTTAACACAACCCTTGGCAAAGGTCAGAGTCCTAGCAGCTCCTGCTGAGGGAGAATGTGCTGAGTGCTTTTGTGTGCATAATTCCATTTAAACCTGGCAACCCTAGGAGGGAGGTACTATTATTGTCCCCATGGTACAGATGAGGAACCTGAGGCTCACGAAGTTACTTGCCCAGAGCTTCACAAGCTAGCAAATGAATGTGATGAAATCTGACTGGGAAGCCACCCTCCATGACCCCGCCCCCATCCCACAGGCATTTGGAATTTGCTGGAATCAGTAGGGAAGGGCACTGGAGGGCCAGAGGGCACATTTCTCCAAGAAGATGCCTTCCCTGGGCCCAGAGTTTCTGCCCTGGCTGAAGGGCCTGCAGGCATGGTCTGTCCCATTCGATCTCAACCACGGTCACTCTCCAGAATGGAGCTGACCAGGCTCCTCGCTCCTCTGCCCTTGCCTGAGACCGGCCATGACCATATTTAATGCACAAGTGAGCATGGACACACCTACACACTAGCACTGACAGGGTTCCTACCCTGGCCTCGCCAGGGGGAATCATCAGAGGGGATGGAGAGGAAGTCTGGTCACGGGCTCACAGCAGATGCTCTGCTTGCAATCCGCAGTCAACAGAGCAGAGAAAATGGATTGCAAAATTCTTCTTCTCTAAACAGTGTCCTCTGCCTGTGTGTGTGCTCTGTGGTCACGTGAGCCCCTTCCCTTGGCCCTGAGAGGCCTTCACTAGGGAATAACTGTGTGTCTCCAACACAAAGCCCTACTCGCGCTGTCAAAGGCCCTGGAGGGGGAAGAGGGGAGGAGAACACCTCCCTGCTGTCCTCCAGCGCCCACTGTGCCAGGGCAAGAGAGGCAGAGTGTCATGGACCTGGGTTGGGGCATTGGGTAGTGCCCAAGGAAGCCGGACTGCCTAGCAATATGGAGAAAGGAGCCTCCCCCTGCAGCCTCCTGTCGCCCTGGGAGCCAGAGGCTGTCCCCTGACTCTACTGTCGGCTGTCTCTCCTAGCTCTGGCCTTGAAGAGCATCGAC